GATTACTAGTACAGAGTTTAACATTAATTTGTAAAATGGAGATGTCCGTTGAAATAAATAAACCCATATATAAATCCCAAAGTACCCATGAACTTTTAAGAAAACTACAAGTCATACCCCCATAAACCATATACAGTACTTAAATGTTTGTCATGACGAGAACCTTGCGCAAAACTATCTATTATTTCATAAATTGACCTTTAAGGTCTGAAAGTTCTGAAGGGAACTTTCCATATACCTAATGTTAAAAATACCTCAGCTGTACTTATTAGCATAGATTAAACATACCCCTAAGGGAGTATGTTTAATCTATGTTATTAGTTTGTTATTCTTTCAATTTATTGCCTTATCAAAATCAGATGTGATTATTTGTTTGTATTCCTGTATTCAGTTTTGTTTATTTCAGCTTAACTTAACCAATCAATAATTTTATTAATACTTATGAAGTCAAACGGGGTGAAGCCCGAGGGTAACAGCTAGTATAAATAAATAAACGTGTTCCCTACCAACTGTCACATTCCTCTGTATCTGAGCGATAATAAACTTAGTTGTAGCTGATGATAGCACTAGTTACGTTTACTAAAAAAACCGAATATGTGTATGTCTCTATTTTCTATTGAGTGATAATTTAAGAATGTTTTTCAAAGTTCCAATTTGTAATTTCATAACGTTGTGCAGATAGGAAATATGAGAGAAGGGACAGACAATCTACACCCTGTTTCTTGGCTGGGAGCCAAGTCCCGTCAACCAAATGTTGCCCATTCTACAACATACACTGTGGGAACAATGTTTCTAGTAGAGCAGAGTTATTTACAACGTGTATATTCAGCTGTAGCCATGCATTTGAACTAGCTCGTCTTTGTTTTAAATTTAAATCTTCAAAGAAAGCTGTACAAGTTGAGAAGTTCTACGAAAGTTGATCGCGTAGTATTAAATACGCTGTATATTATGAACTTAATAGTTATGTTAGGATGTAACCTATTCTAGCCTATGCCAAAACGATATAGTTTTTTTAATGTCATTATGCATGTACAGAATTTAAATTTTCAATGAATTAAGATATTTGGGTTTGAGTGTATGTGTTGCTGCGTATTCAGAATGAATTGTAGTTGAAGAAATATGTGTATATTTTCTTATAATCTTGGATAACAATTAATTTGCATGTGACCACTTAGTTGATAAATTGTGTAACTGTGAAACAGTTTTCCAAGGTATTTTTGCAGATGACGATTGAACTATTATACCCATGATGACAACAGTTGAATTGAAACACCCTACAGATTTATCAGCTGTTTCTCCACACTTTTCTTGGTTATTGTAATAACAGCTGATAAACTAACTGATTTTAATCTGATGAAAACATTTAAATTCTTTAGTATCATCAAACGTTTTTCCTATACCTTCTATATTCTTAAACTTTTGATTTGAATTTTTTTTGGGCTCTATTTAATAATACTCAGCCAATGTTAAAACCACTTAAAGCACTGTGGAGTTTTTACTGCTACAATAACCCATTAGCATTTTGATTGAGGATAGATAAATGTATTGCATACCCAAGTAGGATGGTAGATTCATCAATAATCTGGATTAATTAGGACTTGACCCCATCTGGATGGTCAAATTATCATGATTATCGCAATTACCTTGAAAAAGGGCCAACACACTATTTGAGTAAAAAAACCTAAAAAATGTTTATATTTTCTATTATACAGTTGGTACAGTATAAGGTCTTAAAGAGACATTAATTATTAAAATTTTTGTACGTTCACACACTGTATCATACAGGGTGTTTTTCTTTTAACCCAACGCAAATTAAAAGAAAAAGGAGACACTTTTTAACGACAAAACAAACTTAATATGTTGGTATCCCAGTTTTTTGTTTACTTCATTGCCGATCAGATGATATGCATTGTTGCATAGTTGCCTTTGAGGTTTATTGTTATTGGGAGTTTATTGCAAATAAGACTCAAAATTTGTTTTCACAAGCTCAAATAGATTAGGCTATGTATTGTATTTTTCCCTTTATTTTTGTTTCCTACAGATCCATCCGAGCTGCAAAAGTTTTTGACAAGTCAATAAATAGTTGATTTATTAGGTATTGAGATCGCACTTGGAAACTTAATTTAAAACCTTTCTTGACATAAAATTGATGATTTACTTTTAAGATGTTCTTCAATGTATTCAATGTAGAAAATAACATTAAAAATAAATACTAGGTTTTTTACCATGAAAGGTTTGAAATCAAGTTCCCAGGTGTGATTATAGTACCTTATAGGATTGTCAAATATAAAAAAAAACTGGATCGGTAAAAACAAAAAAAATAAATCCAAAATTACACTAAACCTCATTAATAAAGTATCTCTCTCTCTCTCTCTCCCTCTCTCTCTCTCTCTCTCCCTGTCTCTCTCTCTCTCTCTCTCTCTCTCTCTCTCTCTCTCTCTCTCTCTCTCTCTCTCTCTCTCTCTCTCTCTTTCTCTCTCTAATAAGTATGCAACAATGCATATAATTTGATCGGCAATGAAGTAAAGAAGACAGGGATACAAATGTTTGAGCTTGTTTAGTCGTTAAACAGTGTCTCATAGTAGTCTACAGTACTTGTAATTTGTGTTGCATAAAAAAATAACGCCACACTTGTAGTGTACAGTAAAAACATCAGACAATACATACAAGTTTGAGCTTTAAAAAAATTGTGTCAGGCTTTTGAGCTGCAGTAGTGGATCTTTTTTTTTTTTAGTGGACGGTAAAAAATGTAATTTTTTGCTAGAGATGGATTCTACTGTAATAATGACAAACAAACTTAATCCCGAGGAAAATAAATTCTCTGGACATTTGTCATAGTCATTAACCTGAATCAATGAATGATGCATTATAACAGTTTGATGACACTAGACCAGTTAGTTCTTTATAAAACATTTAAGACTGCCACCGGTATTTCTACTGTAACTATACCTCTACTGCATTAACATAATGTAAAAGTTTTTTTTTTCTTAACCACGTTATTCCGACTGATAGCAGTTAATCATATCAGGTAGTTTTAAACTAAAAATCACTTGCTTTATTGATTTTTATTTGATTTATTTATATATAAACATCATGAGACATTAATAAATATTACAGGGCGAATTCATGTTAGTTTATTCACAACACAAACAATAAAACCTTAGTCTTGAGACCAAAACTCAACTTCAAACTTTCACAACTTTTTATCTGCTATTGACATAGTAACCTAGATAAGGCTTAAAGCTGTGAGTTAAGAGATGATAAGAGAGTCATTGGTAGACATTATCAGTAAACTTGGGTCCTGCCCTTATATTGATTATATGTCAGCTTACTTTCAAGGTTTAGGCCATCAATTCGCCTGGAACACCCTTTAGATCCAACCATTTCCGCGTCTCTTGATTTAGAGCCAGTTATTATTTATTCAGGTTTTTGTTTTCTTTTGTTTTGATTCATGACAAAAGATAATCAATTCCACTTCTTATCATATTTTTTTCAATTCCACTTCTTACCATATTTTTTCAATTCCACTTCTTATCATATTTTTTTACAAGAACTGTTGTTGAAGTCTTTTAACTCGTAGCAAACCAGTTTTTAGTATATTGACCCGAGAGCGACGCATTTAAATCGTAAAATACATATACATATACATCAAAACAAATATTTATTTAAAAAATGGAGGCCATTTAAAGTTGTTTAACTTATAAAACATAAAAACTACAGAGGCAAACAAAACTACTGTTGCAGTGTTTTAATTAGACAATTTTGTTATGATTCTAACCATACTAAATTTACGAAAATCGGTTGTAAATATGGGGGGAAACTAATTTTTGGATACTAGTTTTCCCCGGTCTTTGAGTAAAATCACTGTTAATTAGCTCAAAGAATCGGCTGTTGTAATTTGTAGTTACCCAATAAGCGCAAATATTGTTAAGTACATGGTATCTTAAGAATGAGTTTTCCCCTTTTTTATGAACCAATTTTCTCAAATATGGTATATTTACTTATGTGTATTTTTTGTTATTAACGTTTAAAAATTTTAATGACCGCTACTTTGAAAATGAAAGTTTAAAAAAATTTATATTTTTTCCCAAAATAGATCTTTGCGTTTTCAATGCACCAAATTTCAATTCACTACAAAAAGCCATTATCCAATAAATAGTAGTTTTGGGCAAACAAAATTAAATGTTAGCTGTACGTGTAACTTTTGAGATTTGGAAACCTTTAACGGTATATTTTAGTTTGTCTTTGGTTCAGGAATGATACTTTAAAAGTAGGTAGAGAGTCCGAGGACACCATTTATAAGAGCAGTAAGATAATAACAAATCAAAATGTGAGAGTTGTCCAACATTGAGATTTTTATCCGTAGCTTTATCAATCTGTTAAACTTTGATTCCTAATTTTTACAAACAATAAGCAGCTCAATTTTTCACTATACAAAAGTTTCTGTTTGACTTTGTATATAATGTTGTAAAACAGTTTTAGATATTACTAGCTGAACCCGGCAGACGTTGTCTTGCCTTTGACTATTTATAATTTAGTACCATAACGTTTAATTGTCTTATTGTATATGAAGTGCTTATAACTAAATTAAAATACGTACGACAACTAATGAAACACATATAGTACAAAGGATAACCGATTCTTTATTATTAATGCTCTTATATTAATACTAGGTTATGCTAGCTTAATTATTAATGGTTATTTTCATTCATGGTTATTAATGACAGTATTTTCAAGATAATCTTGTTCGCATGGCTCAATCACGTCCTGGTTGAAGTTTGTTCGCTACGCTCACTCACCTTTAGGTTGGAGCTCGTTCGCTACGCTCACTCACAACACCTGGAGTTTGTACTATCGTTTTTTTAAGTTTGCTAGCTTCTTTAGGTCTGCTCTGTCCCCTTGTGTGGATGGCTTTTACTGACGATTTTCCAATCGTAACTTGTCAAAAATATAAAATTTAGTCAACAAGTTTTAGCTTATCAGGAAAATGTTTGTTACAGGTGCTAATAAGCCACACAAAATTCCCCGTTATTCCTCGCCGTATCAAGATCAGCAAACGACTGGCACAATGCATGCACCCTGCGCTGCCATCAGGCGTACACCTGAAGGCCCTGGAGACATACGACATCATATTCAAGTGTATGGGCACCAACAGACTCAGCCACGAACTCTTTATATACAGTGCAGGTAAGATCCTTAAATCTTATTTAGGTTTAGAAGTTTTCATTATTTTTTTTTTTTTCATTTCCATTCCTAAGTTAGAAACATTAATTATCTATTACTCGCTCATACACTCACATGATTGCCTCCTATGGGTCAAAAAGATAATACAAATTAAAAAACAAACCTATTTGAATAATGCAAGGACTAGAGAGTAGAAATTCAGCAAAGCAAGCCTACAAAGATCTGGTGATTTTAACAGTTTTTGTACATTACTTTTTTGAATCCATTATGACCGTCAAGGAAAAGATTAAGACCGAAAACAGCTCACAATGACACCAATACCAAACATGAGATAGTCATATAACTATACTTTTTAGCCAAAATTATAATGTAGAAAAATCAATTATTTTCTGGTAACATTAACAATAGGAATATTCCAAAAATAAAGAAAGAGGAAAATAGAAATATGTTTGAAAGGAAATTGATAAAAACTATCTCTTTACTATTTTGAAGAATTTATCTGAATCTTATATGATTGCACTCAATTCCATCGAATTAAAAATTTTGTTGTTTTTGTTACTGTTGTTTTTGTTTGTTTTTAAGATCATAGTTTATTACTTATTTTATTTATTATTGTAGTTTATAAAAGTATTGACTCTGTTTAATCTAATGTACAAGTGCATGGTGCATTCTCACTTTTTGACAGGGCCAAATCAGCTTGTGTTCATAACAAAAGGCAATGAAGAAATAGTAGTACAAAGCAATAAACAAACTACACTGAAAAGTCTAAAGTTTTTATTAGTATTCCATGTATCCCAAAATGATTTGAAAAGATAAGACGAGTTGCTAGGAAGTACGAGCAAGATAAATACAGTGTCAACTTGACAATTATACAAAGTTGAGGATACAATGTAGTACTATTTACAGGTTTGTTTCCTCTACTGGGCCATGCTGCAATGAACGTAAGGCCGTCATTACTGACTGTTTACGAGACACACTTTGTACCGCTGGGAGAGAGACTGGGACCCGGCCTCTCCGGATTTCTTAGCGGAGTTCTGCCTGGCTTGGAGGAAGGCTCTGACCACTTTGAAAGGTACAAATAGACAACAAATGTAAAAATATATCAGGTAAATTTGGAATTTGGAATATATTTTATCATTTTACAGTTTTAAACCAGTACTAAGTGTGCTTGTCGTATGATGATCTAAATACAGTGAAGTTCTGTGACTTGGAGAAACGAAATGCAGCTCACAGACTAGCAATGTCTGATTTGCCAGCTTAAAGCCGTGTTTGCACCGGAGTTAGGAACACGTTAGGAACAAATTCCTACAATAAGAGTTTTTTAGTGTTTACAACAGAAATTTTGTTTCCCACCAATTGTTGGTAGAGATTAAAGAGTGTTCCAAACATAAGGAAACATTTATGTTTACAACACTTCCCCGCTACCCCCCCCCCCCCCATGTCCCCACATGACTATCTCGAGAGGGACTGACCTTGTGTTCTTGGGAACGGTGATTAAATTGTTTCCAACAAAAGCCAAGAATAGTGCACTATCTGTTGTAAACTTTTGTTTTAGAAACAAGTGTTACCAACAAAAAGTTCCTAACATTTTGTTCCAAACTCCGGTGTAAACGCAGCTTAAGACCTCTTATACCTCTGAGCTACCATGTTCAGATGTGATGATATGAATCTTTTGTGTTAGTTAATGAAGTATGGAAAAAAACTTAAGGAAAAATTATTATTGAATTGTAAAATTAAAAACAAATACTGTGGAATTGCATACAATTTGGCTTTTGACGTTTTGTTTAAGATTTTTTATGTAATAGGGTTATACCCCCAGTATTTTCCAACTGCTTGTTAGAACTTTAACTATAAAATTAAAACAACAAAATTTAAAAAAATAAAAAATAAATAAAAAAAATATTAAAAAATTCAACCTTTCAAGATATTCAATTAAAATGATTTTGAAAATACTGCATACAGCTCTCAATGGAAGTTTTTCATCTCAACGCTAACATAGAACTAGCAAATTATTCAATTTAAAGTTTTAGTTTCTCTCTACCTACGTTGTTCAACTCATAAATTGTTTAAACCGTAATGCAGGGGAATAAGTGTTTCATTTTGTAGTGGTCCACTCGCATGGTATTGTGTGACAAAACCCAAAATCATTCTGTTCTGTTATCTATCCGCATAAAGATAGAAAGCTATCTGTACTCACCCAGCTAATCATAAATTTTTCCAGACACTTAAGAAGTCCTGAAATTGAATGGATTTATTCCTACAAAAGGTTATTAAAATGAAATAATGCTGTGTGCTAAAAATTTTTCTGTTAGTATTAATAAACAAGCATAAAGTTAATGTAAACCTAAAAAATCGTCTTTAAATAAATGGAGTTTTATTGAATTTTTATATGTTTTTTATATAGTTTTTAAAACCTAACAAAATTTTAAGTTATCTTTAGACTGGAGGTATCTTCAGAGTAGTTTTGGGGTTGATGACCCTAGGTCAGGCTAGGATGGGTTAAGTCAAAATATTCTGCTCATGGTGTATTGGATGGTCAATGAGAAGTTTTTGCAGATCTGGTTTTGAGCTTTCTGAACATAATTTGTTTTTATAATGATGATAAGATAATGTAAATGACTAAGAGAGAGTCTCAATTTTTGTATTTTTTTTTAAATTCTAGGTTTGTGCTGATTCTCTTGTTTTTTATGGCACATTCATCTAAAAGCTCAAAACTATAAATTTTGAAATAAAAAACCTGAAAAAATTATATAACTTAGACTTAATTCTTTCATTAGAAACTCATTCTAGAGATAATTGTTGTAAACTTGTGCTGTAATGTCGTTTCATCCTGTTGTGAAAATCAAGGGACAGTATAATTTCACCTTTCGTCCCAAAGTATTAATACACTCACTCACTCCCATGGTCATTTATGCCCAAGGTGGGATTTGGCCGCACCAACAACTGCTCTCCATCTCTCTCTATCTTCTGCCCCATACACTGCTGCCCCCACTTCTCTGACGTCCTTGGAGACACTATCCCACCATCTCTTCTTGGGCCTTCCTAATGGTCGTTTCCCTTCTGGCTTTCCTATACTTGCTTCTTTTAATAGTGAACCCTGTTCTCTCTGTAGTGCGTGTCCTGCCCACATTATTCTCCTTGCTTTCACGTGTGCTACTACATCATAAACATTGTACATATTCCTTATCTCCCTATTATGTCTTTTTCTCCATTCTCCATTTTATTGTGTTGGGCCATATATCATTCTTAAAATGTTGTTTTCAAAAACAATCATTTTGTTTTCTTCTTTTTTGTTTAAAATCCAAGTTTCAGCTCCATATGTTAATACTGGTCGAATTATACTTTGATATATTTTTTATTTTTGTTCTATGTAAAAGAATCTTTGAAGTCAACGTATTAATAGAAAAATAAATTTTAGAAACGTATACCATGTTACCTTTTATGCTAACAACTACATCCCTAATTGTTATTGTAACGTACTGCTGTTGTGTTTAGAACAAACTCGTTGCTGGAGAAGGTGTGTGAGGGAGTTGGTGCGTCGCTGTTCTATGGCTGTTTGTGGGACTGTCTAGCATCCAACGCTGCCGTCCGACTGCCCGCCATCTTGTTTGTATTCACCCACTACGACCGTAGACTCTCCACGGAGGATCAGCTGCACATCATGGGCACCAACATAGATATCATGGTGGGTTTGTATAAAATATCATTACATTCTAGCGATGTGTCTGTATCAGTACTGAATCGAACAAAATCGATTTTAAGTACCCGTAAATCTATATCTAGCTAAAGACACACAGCTAACATTTTTATATGTAAAATGGCGACAAATATATTACTCAATGGAATGTTATATGTTTGTTGATTGTGTGGTCTTCAATGGTTTTACTGCAATGAAAATCATGTATTCTGTCTACTCTACAAAGGTGTGTTATTTGTTTTCCTAAGGGTTGGCTAGTTATGAACAGATTATTAGGCCTACATTAGTACCCAGTACCCAGCCTACAGTTTTCCCACAGGCTATAGTTTGCTTATCACTGTTCTACAGTATATTAATAAAGTAAAATAAATTAACGTACTAGGATTAATCCTCAAGAAAAAAGTGATTACTAAATACAAAACTAGGTTTATCAGTTAATACATGTCACTAACACCCTGCCCCGCATGTGCAGATTGAGGGGTTGTGTGCGTGTGTGCATGACACCTCTGTGTTGGTGCAACGCAGTGCTCTGGACTTGCTGCTCATCGGCTTCCCCATGCACAACAGTCAGCTGGTCAAGTCGGACATGACACGGCTCGTCACGGCTTCCCTGGCCACCATCCTGCGACGGGACATGTCTCTCAACAGGTACATAGATAATGCTTACAGTCTACCAACAGTTCATAAAATCACCTTATTTCGTCACTAGGGTCTAAAGTGATTCTTTTCAGCCTGAGCTTAATAACAACAAAGATGAATCCTTGGGGAATGAGTGAGGGTGGAAAAGAACAACACTTTTCACGCAAGTGATGAACTATATTTTATTATGCTACACCATTCAGCTACATAATTTAGATAAATTGCTTCCCTAAATTAGCTCCAAAAGTGGTTACCTTCTTGTTTTGCTATTTAATATTAACAGCTGTTCTTGTCATTTAGATGCAAGATGTATTGCAGACGTTTAGAAGCAATCTTTTACAGTATGGTTTGCCCTGACTGATCCTGTTATAGTAAGCTTGTTTACTCCTCCTATCATCCACTTAACTTAAATTCTTTTATCTCAGACACAGTATCAATATAATGTGAGTGCAATTATTTGAAATAGATTTTATTTTACAGTTTTAGTTTGTAAATATGTTTTTTTTTCAACATAAAATGTTTAAGAAAAAAACTTGTCAATTATATTTTAGCATTAAATTTTTCTTTAAAATCAGGACTTTGACACCTAGCATTAACTTAACGACTTTAACACCTGTAAGTCTACCTTATATTGATTATTGGTTTCTGAATAAAAAATAAATTTTTGTCACAAAAAAAATATCACTAATTCTGCGCTAATGTACTTATACCTTGCATAACTGATCTTGCTGTATTAACCTTATATGCCGCAAGTTATCGTCTATGTTTAGAAGCAAATAACTCAAAACAACTAAATTTTTATAGGGATCTGCAGAACAATTTTAAATCTGGGACAAGAATAGATTTTGTCCCTTAATTTTCAAGGTGGGACTGGACACAATGTCATAATGCCCAATAAGCTTAAACTGTTTCTATTTATGACAAAATGTTAGTAAGTGTACTTTTGAGATGGTTTTAATACTAGTAATACAGGCATTATTGTATGCAAAAGCATCACACTACTTTGAAAAAAAAATCAGTCAGAACTTAAGGTAAATGGTTCTACTTAACATAGGCCTAAATATTTTTACGGTGCATCATTAATTCTGAAGGAACATAAACCTATGAGACTGATTCTTATCATCTCATGTGGTCATTGTAAAATCATGAACATTTACGGCGTTCCTCGATGATCGTCAAACCAAATTGTACCGTCGCTTTCCCGCAGACCCCTCAACGTTTGTTTCTACTTGCAGGAGGTTGTATGCTTGGCTGCTCGGCTCGGAGGTGAACATCTCTCTGCTTAGCTCTGAGCATCCTTTGGTCAAGAAGTGTAAAAGTTCCGAGTCACTGGCTTCGTCCAACCTCGCCAACTTGTATTTTGAGATGTACTCCAGAGAAATGTTAGTGCAGGTGAGGAGCTGGTTTGGAGTTTTATGTTAAACTTTTGTTTGTAAAGGGTTATTGTTTCTGAACATTTTATGAGGATTTCATATTGTTCTTGTGAGAATGATAGTTTCTAGTTGTAATTGTTGTTACTGATACCAAATGCTAGATTGTCGATTTAAGAAACACTGTAAATTAGGGGTTATTGGTTTTTGTTGACACAATTTAAATTTGAAGTAAGGTTTTTTTGTCTACAGTTTAACCCTCAACATCTAATTATTATCTGACTGTCTGCTGCTCTTTCTCCTGTTTCCTGGAAATAGAAGTCTGAAGTTGAATCTCTTAAGTGTATCCTAATGTTATTCCACAGCCAAGTAAAACTTGACTGAGCTTTTACATTTTATGGGGATTTACACGTTTTGGGGTATCTGTTGATTTGAAACTGATCTGTTTGCCCAAAGTGTGGACTGAACGAAATGCTTGGCGTAGTTCCAGGTGTCCTCTCTGTGGAATATAGTTCAGTTGACGTTTGCGACATCAAGATTATGCCTCTGCAAAAACCTGAAGTGTCATCATAATATTTTATAAGAGTTATAGCATCAAAATTTGTAAAAGTAAAATTTGTTTCCCCATTGTCGTAATCAACCAAAAATTTATTTGTTTCTACTTGCAGGGGGTAGTATGCCTGGTTGCTCGGCTCCAAAGTGAACAACTCTTGATTACTTCTTTGATTACCAGCAGTAATAGAGTACAACCCTGTTCACACGAGCCTCAATTACAAGTGCACATTTCAAATCTCCTTGAAAACTCTATAACACATACTGTTAAATTAGCCTCTATAACATGACTATTTCTATCATAACAATGTTTAGGTTTGTTTAAGGAAATCATAGTGTAACATAGAACACTTATAACAAGTTGTTTTTAGAAGTCTACCTTGATAACAACTACTTCTGTAACTGTATTCATAATTTTCCCAGAATTCACTAGAACATATGTTTTGCAGGAAGACTCATATACTAGAACAAGTTTAGACTTCACTCATTATAAAGATAATAAGCGCATTTCATTAACCTTAATAACACAACTGCTAGCCGGAATTACCTTGATAACACAACCATCAACAATAAGAGCACCTCGATGACAAGACTATTCAACTAATCCCCTCAAGGCACTTCTTATTGAGGTTTTACTGTATCTTTGAATATTGTAGTGAAGTAGTGACATGTTGTAGGCCATCAAGAATGTGCTGAGTGAAGCGACAGGTCAGAATCCACATGACCTTCGACCTTACAGACTGCTGGTGTCCCTGCTGGACAAGGTAGACATCGGGCCTGTCATACTGGACGACATCCTCTTTGAGGTCTTCAGGTCAGATATTCAGGACACACTAGTCAATCTTTGACTGTACAAGTATTCTGTAGAAGAATTCACTAGACTTGATACATTATAATATGTTTCACCTCTTCTGAGTATGATAACTCGAGCAAAAATGGTTGGATTTAAACATCTGGTAAAATGGTGTAAACCTGTGTTTTTTCACTAATGGGGTTTTCCCAATATTGAACCTCAATACATAACATTTCGCAATTTATTAATGACTACTGTGTAGAGCATGTAACAAAATTAGTATATTTTTTTGTTTGTGTCTAACTTTACAAATTTGTATACTTTTTTTAGGAAACGGTCCAAACCTTGGTCTTGTAACTATCTATTATCTAGTATCTAATGTATAATATTGAAGGTTGTACAAGAATTATATAGAGAATATTATTAAAAATTATAAATATTCTCAGGTTATTTTCATAGAGATTAAGTAAACTGTAGCTTGTTATAATTATCAAACTATTACCATAAAACAAAACAAAACACTTGACCACCTCACCTGCAGATGAGTATTCATCCAACACAATGCTATTTAAATAAGGAATAAGTCTGACATGTTTAAGGAAAATATTTGAGGAATTATCAGGGAAATACAAATTTTCTTAGTATGCTACGCTGTAGCAGGGGTAGTTTTAATTTTTTCACGTTTGTAAAAATATTAAAATGTCTTCAAATTTTCAGGCTTTTGTACTTGTGTTGCTCTGGTTCCACCAAGTCTAACAGCGTTGAGCTGTTCAAGTCAGCTAACCTGCTGTTCTCGTCCCTGGAGCCCAAGTATATGTGGCAATACTGTGGACAGCTGGTCGCCTCTGCTTGTGGCCGAACCCACAATTCAGATTCAGAGTCCTCACCTGTCCATCAAGTCGGTTCTGGGGATCCCGGCTTAGTAGAGGTTTGTGTCACAAGTTTTTCAGTTTTTAATATTGGCACGTAAGTTTTATTATGAACGTTTTCTGGTTTTAATCTAGTGACTCAAGAATTTAGTATGACTTAAAAAATTGGATTTCTAATTGATAGAGCATGACATGTTTTAGAATTTTTTTCTTTTCATGTCCAAAGCTTTGGCTTTTAAAAGATGTTCCCATTAATTTGCATCACCTTGTCAATGACATACCTCCACAAGTATTGAGGTATATCTTTTCTGTTGATACTTAAAGGGAAGTAACCTAACACCAGATTCATGATTCAGCCATGAGACTACAAAAGTAACTATTTCCTAGCATTAATCTGTTTGTTTATTTTCCTTTGGAAGATTGTAGGCCTATTTGTTTACTTTTCTATTCAATCCATTTTACGTTATGAAATAAAATAAGTCACTGAAAGACAATTTTTATATCTACAATATTGAGAGAATAAAAAAAGGTAAAAATCAAAAATTTGAACACAAAGTAGGCCTATAGTGAAGGGTTCCATTTTAACATTCTAGATTTGAAGTAATACTGTCTTTGATTCTAGACCTTAGGCCCCTTTTATTCACCGCGGTTGCCCGCCACGGTTTTATAAATGCATGGCCGTAAATGGGTGCTTTTATTCAAATAGGAGCGGTCTCAGAAGTTGCAGGTACCCGCGGCGGTTTGTAAATTCACCCGCTTGCACTTAGAAACCGCCGGCGGGTAGCGGTTCGTATATGCATTGTGTTATATGGGATCGTTTATTCAACGCGGGTGCCCGCCGTCGCTCTCGCATTGCTGCCAACCTAAGTCACCAATGTCACTCACTACACGTGGTCTAGTCATTCGGCTGTGGGCATTGTCTACTACATACTATAGTCTATAGTGTGTATAGTTGTTTGGTCATGTACATAGCTGAACCCCTCACCGTTAAAAACGAATTAATGTCATGTTACGGACATAAATACTGAAAGATTTGTTCTGAACTTATCTATAATAAAAAACAGTTAGATTAAACACCACTCTGGTACTATTTGAAACTTTTACAAAGGATTTCTTTTGCTAGATTGTGTTTTTTGCTAGATTTCAGGCTTAAATAGCAGCCGTTGAAGTGAATCAATGACAGTTCTCAGTTGTAAACACTTGTGTTAGACTGGTTAGATTGAAGGAATATACATTAAAAAACAAAGGTTTTAAAAAACAAGGGTTGTCAGCACTGTTACACTATCCACGTGACAGCGGTCGATCGCAGGTGACACACTGGTGCAGCGGTTGCCCGCGGCGGGTGCCCGCTGGCGGGCAATCGCGGTGAATAAAAGGGGCCTTAAGTATTACGGTTTTCTTTGATTCCGGTAAAAATGTAGATGAATTAAAATTGATTTTGCTGTTAGATGTATTTCATTCCCACTATTTTTCTTACACATATTTGATTTCTCACAGGTTTGCGCCCTGACAGAGTTCCTGTTAGACACTGTGTCGCTGGAGACGTACTCCGACACTCCGAGTGAACATCTTCCTGCATTGTTTCTACACATTGTTACCCTGCTGACGGACCACTGTGATATGCTTAGTCCCCTACAGACAGCTAGAGCATTGCAACTGTGTGCCAAGATTCTCACCAGAGTCCAGCCAACAATAACTAGTCACCAGCAGCGCGACTCGGAGGTAACTGCTGAGTAATCTCAAGTAGAAATTATTTATAGTAACCACTAGCCGCCAGCCAATGTTATTAGGTGTAGTCAGGAGGGTCTTAGTCGGGTTTGACATGGTATAGTGGGTTCAAACCCTACTAATCACCCTAAGTGATTATGCCACTACCCTCTGGGCCTACCCTGAAGTAATGTGTAAAATGTTTGTGTTCTAGAGCCCGGCATCCTAGGATGTGAAGGTGGAACAGAAAAACATGAGTATGAGTGTGGCAGAAAGAGAAAGAACTGCCATTAACAAAATTGTAACCTACAAAAATCCCTCTCAATAACTGTTGTTTCTCTTATTCAGATTGTTGCTTTTGTTCAGCAACTGTTATCAAGCAGTAACAGACAGTTGCACAGTTCCAAACATTTAAATTACCTAACATTTAATGTTCGGTGTAGCCTAAATTTAGCTGTCATTTTATAGCGAGAACACCGTCTGTGTCATAGTACAAGGTAAAAATCACTAATGTGATTGCCACAATTATGTTGGTGTTTGTGATAGGCCAAGCCTATTTAATTTGTACCGTTTTTGTGTGTGTGTGTTTGGACTAAATGTAGCGTGAAGTAAAGAAACATGTAGCATATAATTGTATTAGGGGTCTGCGGTACAGAAAATTTAAGGTCGGTACGGTTCGGTACGGTACAATATTTTGTACCTCGGTTCTCGGTACAAAATCGGTACGGTACGCGGCTACCCGTATTTTTGCGGTTTTCTGCTCAGAACTGTATTTAGACCATTATTTTTAACTTTAATACATTGACATTACTATGAAAATTGATAGTATCCTACTTTCCTGGTATTCTAACAACAATTACTGTACCACACATTATTAAAACAAAACCTTTTACTACTACGAGGATTGTGTCAAGAAAAATCACAGTTAAGATAAAGGCTTTACCTATTTTACTCTGAGATACTTTGAATAGCCATGATAAAAGTGGTTTTAAAAATAGGGTAAGAGTTTTTAGGAATAAACATGTTTGAAAATTTATTGGCAAGATAATTTCACACAACTGGTAAATTATTTCCAACCAACACAATGTCTAGTTGTTTTTTAGATTTTTAAAAACATATAAAAGCATTCAGTACAAAGACAGTGTAGCTGCCAGCTGTTCACAGCAGACAACAATAAACAACTGGAGGATATGATGAAGTAATGGCAAAGAGCATCTTTTTTATCAGCTCCAAAACTAGTTTATAAGATCGGGTCGGATTCGATACGGATATCCGAACCGGGCCCAAATTCGATATCCGACACTATCCGTTATATATCCGACTTTTTCGGATAGGCAATATATTTTGACGTTTTGGACAGAAAACTTAATCTCCATAGCCACCATTAGGTTCCCAGGACAAAATTACAGCAATACGTTTCCAACGACCTAACACCAAACGGCAAAGAAGCCGTATGATGCAATACTGATAACTAGTTTAGTCGTTATCGGCTGTTTTGCTTTACGATTAGATTCGTCTGGAACGAACAGACATAAAGCAGAAAAGAACTACCATGGTCAAATGAAAGTCAACTTTTGCTTGTCTCGCTCCTGATACTAGGGGCGCTGCGTAATAGTTTTTTTTACAGAACTGTTTCAAAGTAGAAAAATCTAGCCTACTACTGTGATGTTACGTAAACAATAGATTTAATGTTTCCCGAAAAAAGTCAGAATAGAAACAATAGAAAGGCAAACAATAGAAAGGTGGGAGGGGTTGGGCAATGACCTCGAAAGGAACGCGGGTAGTGAGTCAAGTAGGACCGGAGGGGGAAGGGGTGGGTAAGACCTTGAAGCTTTAAATAGACTTGCACTACTTCCCTAAACCTAAAGGACTGGCCGGCGAGTGGTATTCCAATCACAGGACAAGATACGTTGTTTTTTGGGTATTCATTGCCCGGTTTGACTTTGGATTGTCTTACTGTGTAGAAACTTTGAATAATAAAAGATAAAGTTAGAACTAACCACGATTATTTAGCATTGATTGTGTACATATTAAATGATTAAACTATAGGGACCATGGATATATACAAACTTTTGTCAACATCAAAATACAATATTGCACAATCGTGATATTTTAGGTCATTGACTCAATTATGCATCTGGTATTGCTGTTTCAGAAGAGAAGCACGTTGATAAATTATAAATTGATATTCCCGTAGTTAAAAAGAATTATTTTATAAACCTATAAAACAAAATCATAAAATCTTACATAAAGATAACAATAACGGAAATTGTAAAAAGGGTATAAAGATAACAACGTCATTCTTTCTCTTTGTTCTTCTATTTCTTGGGTTTCCCTTCATACGCATTCAACAAGTTGCCATGGTTACTAATCACCCATGTCGTTATCACCGAGTGCAGCCGAGCGGCACTAATGAGGGTCGGACCTTCTTGGGGGTGAACAATAGACGGCTTATCAGACCCTCCCCTCCCCCGTGGTCTGGAGAAAGCTTGTAAACAAACTATTGCACAAGCGCAATGAATACACAAACTATATAGTTTGTGTATTCATTGACAAGCGTGACTTGACATTGGGCTGACAGTAGGCGTAGGCTTGAATAACGAAAAAAAAATTATGCAAACAACAACTATCAACAACAACTATGCTTGTGGTTTCGTTAATAGAAAGATAAAATATCTATAACAAATATTTTAAGTTATAAAATAAGATTGTACATTAGTTACAAGTTTAATATGTAGCCATAAACAGTTTTATGGCAGTAGGCAATGGCCAGCGGCAAATTTAATATTCACGAAAATACTGACTGAGTTCAAGATAACATTTAACAGTCATCATAAAACTATTATATTTATGATAAAATAGAATTGGGGGAAGTCGTGAAGAAATAAAAGTGATAAAACTCAACAGTTCTTGGAAGTACTTGAATACAACAATTATTGTCGTGATAAAATGTTAATGGACTTGGGACTGCTAATGGGGTTTTTATTGCATCATCACCCTAGTAATAAATTATGAAGATCGTAAACATACATCTGATAAGACTTTTATGTGCTTGGAACCAACTGTCGTTAACTACGATAGTAACTGAAAGTAATTTATTATTATAATTAGGGATGGACGGGATTGAATTTTTAGTTCGGGACGGGACGGGACGGGATTTTTATTTCCTTCCCGATTTTCGGGACGGGACGGGACGGGATTTTTTTCTGTGCATAAAAAGAAAGTAATGTATTGCAGTTACAAAAAAGACATACGAAATCAATTTTTACCATTTGTGGCACTGATCTATAAAAACCAAAAAATGGGTAACAATTTACAGGTACCTATAGAAACTTGTGACTCGCGGGTCACGGGGTGATCGTCTGTATGACTCACGGGTCACGGGGTGATCGTCTGTATGACTCACGGTCAACGGTCATGGCGCGATCGTCGTCATGACTCGCGGTCACGGGGTTATCGTCGGTATGACTCCACGGTCACGGCGCGACCGTCGTCATGACTCGCGGTCACGGCACGATCGTCGGTATGACGCGCGGTCACGGCGCGATCGTCGGTATGACTCCGCGGTCACGGGGTTATCGTCAGTATGACTCCACGGTCACGGCGCGATCGTCGTCATGACTCCACGGTCACGGCGCGATCGTCGTCATGACTCGCGGTCACGGGGTTATCGTCGGTATGACTCCACGGTCACGGCGCGATCGTCGTCATGACTCGTGGTCACGGCGCAATTGTCGGTATGACTCGCGGTCACGGCGCGATCGTCGGTATGACTCCGCGGTCACGGCGCGATCGTCGGTATGACTCCGCGGTCACGGCGAGATCGTCGTCATGACTCGCGGTCACGGGGTTATCGTCGGTATGACTCCACGGTCACGGCGCGATCGTCGTCAAGACTCGCAGTCACGGCGAGATCGTCGTCATGACTCGCGGTCACGGCGCGATCGTCGTCATGACTCGCGGTCACGGCGCGATCGTCGGTATGACTCCGCGGTCACGGGGTTATCGTCAGTATGACTCCACGGTCACGGCGCGATCGTCGTCATGACTCGCGGTCACGACGCGATCGTCGTCATGACTCGCGGTCACGGGGTTATCGTCGGTATGACTCCACGGTCACGGCGCGATCGTCGTCAAGACTCGCAGTCACGGCGAGATCGTCGTCATGACTCGCGGTCACGGCGCGATCGTCGTCATGACTCGCGGTCACGGCGAGATCGTCGTCATGACTCGCGGTCACGGGGTTATCGTCGGTATGACTCCACGGTCACGGCGCGATCGTCGTCAAGACTCGCAGTCACGGCGAGATCGTCGTCATGACTCGCGGTCACGGCGCGATCGTCGTCATGACTCGTGGTCACGGCGCGATCGTCGGTATGACTCCGCGGTCACGGGGTTATCGTCAGTATGACTCCACGGTCACGGCGCGATCGTCGTCATGACTCGCGGTCACGACGCGATCGTCGTCATGACTCGCGGTCACGGGGTTAGCGTCGGTATGACTCCACGGTCACGGCGCGATCGTCGTCATGACTCGCGGTCACGGGGTTATCGTCGGTATGACTCCACGGTCACGGCGCGATCGTCGTCATGACTCGCGGTCACGGCGAGATCGTCGTCATGACTCGCGGTCACGGCGAGATCGTCGTCATGACTCGCGGTCACGGGGTTATCGTCGGTATGAATCCACGGTCACGGCGCGATCGTCGTCATGACTCGCGGTCACGGGGTTAGCGTCGGTATGACTCCACGGTCACGGCGCGATCGTCGTCATGACTCGCGGTCACGGGGTTATCGTCGGTATGACTCCACGGTCACGGCGCGATCGTCGTCATGACTCGCGGTCACGGCGAGATCGTCGTCATGACTCGCGGTCACGGCGCGATCGTCGTCATGACTCGCGGTCACGGCGCGATCGTCGTCATGACTCGTGGTCACGGCGCAATTGTCGGTATGACTCGCGGTCACGGCGCGATCGTCGGTATGACTCCGCGGTCACGGCATGATCGTCAGTATGACTCTGCGGTCACGGCGCGATCGTCGGTAGGACTCCGCGGTCACGGCGCGATCGTCGGTAGGACTCCGCGGTCACGGCGCGATCCTCGGTATGACTTGGGGTCACGGCGCGATCGTCGGTAGGACTCCGCGGTCACGGCGCGATCGTTGGTATGATTCGCGGTCACGGCGCGGTCGTCGGTAGGACTCCGCGGTCACGGCGTAATCGTCGAAATGACTTCGTCTCCTGCGTTCGCGGACCTATCGCTCGCAATAACGGCTTTATCGGCACTCGCGAAGCGGAAAAATCGCCGACGATCGGACCAAATCCCGTCCCGAAAAATTCCCGTGTCAAATGTAATCCCGTCCCGATAATCGGGAATATTATTTTCCCGAAAAATTCCCGAAATTTCGGGACCCGTCCATCCCTAATTATAATAGGCTGTACCGAACCGAATTTGTACCGTGTAAAATGCTGTACCGAACCGATGACGGTAATTAAGCTTGTACCGTACCGTACCGACTTTTTCGGTGCACCGCAGACCCCTAAATTGTATACAACTTGGAACTGCTAACGACAGGTAGGTATTGTAGCAAAATTTGTAGTATTCAACACAATTTAAGTACTAATACAAATCAATTTTAACATCATTACTACACCAACTCTGTCACCATAGGAACAACAGAAGGATGGTACAGGGACAGACACCACCAGTATATCCGATACAGCCAGCCAGTCCAGCCACACATCTGTCGCTACTACGTCCCCCGCAACTGCAGCTGTATCGTCACATCACTCAGTATTGGAGCAGTGCCTCAGGCAGTATGAAAAGTAAGTCTTGTGGAATTACTATTATTTCAAACTATAGGGTGGTTAATTTTGTTTAAGGCTCCAGGCCAGGATTTTGAATTGTAGACTATAGAGGGGATTATTGCACCATTAAAAATATAGGGTGATAAAGGATTCTTTTGGTTGATGGGTTGAACAGAAAACTAACCTTACTGACAAAAATAGTGGAAAGTACACTAATAAACATATTACATAGAATTGTTTTAACTACCATAGTCCGTTCACAAAATTTAGGCGATTTAAGGGGAAGGTTTTCTGAGTTCCCCCACCACTTCTAGGGCACTTTTTTTAGCCGTCGGCTGTTGTTTCATAGTTGTGTGAAATGGAGAGGATGGAATCGTTTCCCCTCAAACCTCAGACATTTTTTGAACAGAGTATAGTTAGTTCCTTCTTCAGTTGTAGAGTCTTTCTTCTTGTTGTAGCTATTTTGACGTAATTTCTAGAGATAATTTTAAATAACAAACTGGAGAAGCCCTGATTATGTGAGATGTTGGTGTTCAGAGAGGCGACATCTACTGACTAGAATCATGTTGGGTGGTAAGGGGGTGCGAATCTCAGACAAAGGTTAAAGGAAATGATTAGTATTTTTTACCCAACCAAGAAGACTGCACAACGGGTTTCAGAAGAGAGTCGAGGAAATTAATATTCTTCAAGATGTTACAAGCTTACAACATTATGTTATGAAGCTTACACATGAACAGAGACTCTATATAACCGTCAAAGGAGCTAGTAGTTTTAAAAATTCCATGTTTCATATGTTTAAATGTTTTGTTTTTCTTGTTTTATACGAGTTCATGTATTCAGAGAGTTGTGTACTTTCAACTATTTTCTCCAGTAATGTAGTGTAGGCCTGCTGTTCAACCTATCCACTGCAAAGGTCTCAAAACCTGGCCTGAATCCATCTTTCCCAAATAATAAAGTGATTAAGTTGGAGGTTCCAAATTAAAATTTAGTTGATATGCTATATAGTTTTTTTTATTAGGGATAATTTTGTTTGAACTGACATTAAACGTAAACAATTTTATCTGTGAAATTACGGCACAGACTTCACCTCTTTCGATGAAAATATTCCATCACTTAATTGTTGCGAAATTTGATGGATTACACTCAAAACATCATCCTTCAGCTCCAAAATCAGGTTGCGTTAGGTTGCATTCTGATCCAGTAACCCCTTTGTCAATTGATCTTGCTGACCAATTTTGATCCTCGAAACAAGAGATTAAACATCCGGTAAACTATGATATTAATTAATTATAAAATTATTCCTAAATTAATAGAAACCTTGTTACAGATTTTATGTCACATTTGTCTACGGCACCAGACTGAAGGTTGGAGAGACCAAGAGCATTTCAGTTTTGCTAGAAACATTAAGAATCAAGTCAAATCAGACAAGTTATGAGGAACGAGCAAAGCAGCTAGAAACACTGCTAAGGGCTGTACTTGATGATAAAGGTAAGTGAAGGCAAACCATAGTGTTACAAAAATCAAAACAATATTTTGGGTTGTTTCATAACGTCCAAAAACCGAATTTTAATTCATTTCACATTATTCTTAGTCTTATCCAAAAATAGAGATAACGCGAAAAGCATAGTATTTCTATATGCTTTGGACAAAATATTCACTTCAGTTCCTGAGGTCCTGGGTTCAAATCCCGCCAAATCACCAGTGGATTTTATCTAAGTGATAATGCCGAAATCCCTATGTCTAGTCTGTTGTAATGTGAAAATCAATTCAGAACTTGTGCCTAGCACCTTAGAAAAAAAGGGAAAAAAAATATGTCCAACCTTACTGCTTGAACAGCTGTGGTGTACTCTCTAGCTATGAATACTCTGACTGACCTGACCTTATAAAAAAAATATTTAGAATATGTATTTGACTTTACCTTATGACTGTTTTGAGTCATTAATTCAATCGTATGGATACAAGGAAACTGAAAAGTTAAATTTATGACAGTTACAAATAACTTTTAAATGTAACACAGAAAAAAGTTAATTTTTGTGTATGCTGCTCTCACATCAATTAAGAACCAATATTGTCAACTTACATGTGAAAATAACCATCAATCAGTTAAGAGTGGGAACTAAGTAACACTAAAATGAAATTTACTCCAAGGAGTATAAGTCAAAGTCAAAGTCAAAGTCTTTATTGCCATTAAATACAACAAGTACAATAGGCTCGTCATTTAAATAAACAAAACATGCAAAATCAAATCCATCAACAAACAATTCAAATAAATAAGCTCTAGTCAAAAAACAAAACAAGAAAACATGCACAAACCATGCAGGTGTACCTGAAAATGACTCAAACGGTTACCACCAGATTGCTTTTGTCACAGTTGAAAAATTCGGATATGTGGTAAAAAGGATTTAGAGTGAGCCAATTTTTTACAAAAGTCAATGTATTATTTTTAACTATAATACATTGACATTACTATGCCACTTCTATATATAGACTCGTCCCCGGTGACGTCACCACCTGGGGATTCCCCAGTCCCGTGACGCGGGGACCGCGAACTTGGCTCTTGGGGCAGTGTCCGTAAAACTGTTTAAAAACGCTTATATCTCGAAAACGGCTTGAGATACAGCAAAACGGTTGAAATTCTGGCACACATAGTGGGTGTCAACTTTTGATTATAAACAATATTACAACATTAAAAAATCAAAAAGTAAAAAAAAATTTAACATTATTTTATATGGGTAGCGCGTAGTTAGGAAACTAAAAAACATTTAAGCCTTAAACAGCTACATCTAACAATGTAAGACAAGATACAGAACATGCAATAACATAATTTGAGACCTAGTAGGCTTGCATAACAACGAAAAAAAAATTATGCAAACAACAAATATGCTTGTGGTTTCTCAATAGAAAGATAAAATATTTATAACAAATAGTTTAACTTATAAATAAGATTGTAGATTAGATTGGTTACAAGTTTAATATGTAGCACCTAACAGTTTTATGGCAGTAGGCAATGCCAGCGGCAAATTGAATATTCACGAAAATAATGACTTGAGTTAGAGATAACATTTAAGAGTCATCATAAAACTATTATTTTTATGATAAAATAGAATTGGGGAAAGTCGTAAAGATATAAAAGTGATAAAACTCAACAGTTCTTGTAAGTACTTGAATACAACAATTATTGTCGAGATAAAATGTTACTGTCGTGATAAAATGTTAATGGATTTGGGACTGCTAATGGGTTTTTTATTGCATCATCACCCCAGTAATAAATTATGAAGATCGTAAACAAACATCTGATAAGACTTTTATGTGCTTGGAACCAACTGTCGTTGACTACGATAGTAAACTGAAAGTAATTTATTATTATAATAGGCTGTACCATGCTGTACCGAACCGATGACGGTAATTAAGCTTGTACCGTACCGTACCGACTTTTTCGGTGCACCGCAGACCCCTAGTTTAAAATGAACCATTGCTGAGCCAAGGCCAAAGAGTCATGCACTGCTGACTGAGCCAGGAACCAGTTTTTATCAGACGAAAATAAAGTTGTGTCGTCTGCAAATAGAATAATGTGACTATTAACATGGTAATGCAAATCATTAATGGCAATCAAAAATAAGAGGGGTCCCAAGATAGAGCCTTGGGGAACTCCATGGAGCACATCACCTTTCTCTGAAAAAGTCCCATTCCAACTAACAACTTGTTTCCTATTTGACAGGTAAGAGGAAACCACTTTGAGGGCAACATCTCCTAGACCATAGAATTTAAGTTTTATTAGAAGGGCATTGTGAGGAATGCAGTCAAAAGCACGTGACAAGTCGCAAAGAATTGCATGTGTTGACTTTTTGGACTCAAAAGACTTGATAATTTCACACACCAAGGACTCTACAGCTAATATTGTCGATTTGGCTTTCCTAAAGCCAAACTGTGAGGGAACTAGGAGATTGTTCTCCTCAAAGTAGGAATACATTTGAGAGAACATTACAGATTCCATAACTTTGGCAAAAACAGGTATGATAGACACAGGTCTGTAACTAGACAAACTTTCACGGGGACCTTTTTTATAAATTGGGACTGTTTTAGCTACTTTTAGGGCATCTGGGAAACAACCAGTTGCAAGACAGTTGTTTATCAGAATTGTGAGCTCAGGTGCAACTGTGTGTATAACTTGCTTAACAGTATCTGTTGACAAATCATAAACATCCCTACTTTTAGAGGCTTTGAAGTTGTGAACAATCTTTACAATATCATTTGGTTTTGTGGGAGTGAAAGAGAAACTTGTGTTTACCCTGGGAATATTAACAGTAAAATTGGAATCTACAAAAGGTATATCAGGTATTTTCCCAACAATATCGTTGACACTTTGGATAAAATAATTTATAAATAAAAAACTTTTTTAAACAAAACGTTTTTAAACGCCCTAAAAAGTAGAAAATAATTTACAAATAATTTATAAATATGTTGAGAGAGTATAAATACTTGTACGATTTAAAACGAAAAACGTGGGGTGCATGCAATAGATAGTTTACAATTACCTTCACCTACTGAACTAATGTATTATTATCAATTAATTACATGCACCCAACGTTTTTCGTTTTAAATCGTACAACTATTTATACTCTCTCAACATATTTATAAATTATTTGTAAATTATTTTCTACTTTTTAGGGCGTTTAAAAACGTTTTGTTTAAAAAAGTTTTTTATTTATAAATTATTTTATACTTTTTAGTTTTAATAAAAGGCTGAGAAGTCTCCACAAATGAGTTGCTGGAATAAATATCGTAGGCTGGTGGAATGCTTGAGCTCCTCTGATAGGTGGCTACTAAAACAAATCTCCAAAAAACATAACGTTGATGCCACCGAATGGTTCACTTTCCTCCTTCTTCATTTGTCGCAACCTAGAGTCGATCATGCACAACATTTCGTATGGGACCATGGAAATCTCATCGATGAACAGGAATTTGATATCCTTCTACTGACTTCGAAGGATCTTCAAATAGTTACCAGTGAGTGGTGACAAATGTTGTACAGTACCATTTTTCCATCTTTTTCAACTGGTAATTTAAATAATGTGTGCAGCGTAGTTCCGCCAATAAGTCTAGCCGCAACACCAGTCAATGCACCAACGTTAACTGCTTTCTTGCCATAGCAACGATTGACCTGTTCTTTTAGCACATTGAATGTGAATGTTTTACCAACTCCAGCACCTCCGGTGACAAACATTCTGATGCGATTTGGGTTTCCATTCAATTGGGTCTGGATACTGCGAGTAATGGTGTTAAATATATCTCGCTGTTGTAAATTCATTGCAGAACACACATTCTGGAACTGCTCATTTGCCATAGCTCTTTCGGTAACTCCATCTTCAAGTTCTGCCTCAACATTTTCTTCTGGACTTTCAAGAAGATTGAAAGCATGTGCCTGATTGAATGCAGTTTCAAGTTGTCTGTTTCTGGCACGATATATTTCAAGGTATGCATTTGTTTCTCTCAATTGATCTTCTCGAGCAATAAAAGACTCGCGTGCATTGTTATGCTCATCAATTAACTCATTCTCAGAGTAAAATGGTACATATTGTACCAGCAGACTGTAGAGGTAATTTTCAGGATCTGTCTGCATTTGAAAGAATGGCACTCTTACAACAGCTGGGACATTTCTTATTACCATTTTCGTATTGTTTTACAGTTTGATGAGTCTTTGTTTAATTTGTTGACCGTCTTCTTCTGCCTCTATGCTTTTCAACTTCCCGTTGAGCATAGGCCTGCCGCTGACGTAGTAGTCTTGCCGATTTACAAACCTCCGATTCCTGTTGAAGCTTAACTAGTCTTTTTTTTCTTTCTCTAGGCGTCGCTTGCGTTTGGTGACTGTCTCCTTGACCATAATATGAGTTATCGTGCAATATTCACAAATAATTGTTATTATTACATGTTTACAGTTCGTTAATCCGAAAACTCACAATATATAATAATTTAACTATAGTTTGTTATGGAATTTCTCTGCAATGCATTCACTCGAAATATTTATTGTTTACTTTATAGAATACTAAACAAACAAAAATTGACATTATTTACAAACACCTTGATACCTACAATCAGATTGTTTATCTTTATTTTGAAATGTTTGTTTATATAAAGAATCTCTTGGGAGCATAACCTGTACCTCTTAACCTCTGCTCTTCGAACTGTCAAATTTAAGTATTTACAGCTGACTTAAATTAGTTGATATATTTACATCCTTTCAAAATGTAAACATGAAAAATTTGGAAGCCCATGGGGCGTAGCCCAAGGGAAATATGAAAATTAAATGATATAATATTGCATTGTCATGCATTTGTGAGCTATGTTTCAAATTTCAAGTCTCTAGCTTATCGGGAACATCGTTTAAAATTGATATCAAAATTTGTAGGAAAGCGAGCAAGTAAAAACAAGCCCATGGGGCGTAGCGCGAAAGGAAATATAAAAATTAAATTATATAATATTGCAATGTCATCCATTTGTGAGCTATGTTTCAAATTTCAAGTCTCTAGCTCATCGGGAAGTATCAAAATATGCAAGAAATCTATTTAATAAAAACAAGCCCATGGGGCGTAGCCCAAGGGAAATATGAAAATTAAATTGTATAATATTGCATTGTCTTCCATTTGTGAGATACGTTTCAAGTTTCAAGTCCCTAGCTCATCGGGAAGTTGGTATAAAATCGGTTGCAAAATTTGTAGCGGACAAGAAAGCGACCTAATAAAAACGTTTTAAAATACATTAAAATCAGTTGCTGAGAACTTCGACTCCAAGTTCACTGTTGGTCGAGGTCTGCTGTGATTAATCAAACTCCAAGCTGCCTTACATGGGTTGGATGAGCCTGTGATGAAAGCAGCGTTTGCAGAAATTTTTGCGCTTTTAATACCGTGGCGATACTCCCTGCGCAGACTTCTTACCAAGGGCAGTAACTCAGGCTGACTCTTGGACTGCTCATGGACCAGCATGATCCAGTTCTTCAGATGAGCTAAATCCTCATTATACCAATCAATCTTGCTAGGTGTAGCGTGCAATTTAGTTTTAGGCTGTGAGATTCTTTTTTTCTTTAGAGGAAAACAGAAATCAAAAATACATTTAAAACTATTTAGGAAAAACTCAAAACAGTCTTCGGGTGAAGAAAACATAGTGTGGGCCAAGTGTAAGCCACTAACAGCCCTTGACTGCAACGATTCAGTAAAATTTAGTACTGCATCGTCATTAAAAGACCTGAAATCAACAAACTTGTCTACAGAACAAAGACTATTTATATGTACACGGTAAGGTTTATGTACATAAATACATGTTTGTGATCAGCCACCTGATCTCTGCTTACACCTGCTTTAAAATCAGTCTTACACATGTTAGTAAATATATTGTCTAGAGGAGCAACACCACGAGTGGCCTCGGATATCACACCGTACAAATCAAAGCTTCGCAATAGGTTCTCAAAGTCCTTGGCATCACTGGGGAAATAGACAGGGTTCACTTATGATCGGTACCTATTATCACATACCTCCCTAGTGTCAACAAAAATACTAAACATTTTTCCAGTATATCAAAGAAATTACCCATTTTACCGCTTGGTGATCGGTACATAGTTACAACCACCAATGACAAGTCTGTAATAATTGAAGCAGAAAATTCAACCTCTTTTTCTACACTGTACATTGAGAGGTCCAGAGGCTTGACAGAGTAATTTAGTCTATTATTGAAGTACAGAGCCACGCCTCCAGTTGCAGACGTACGACAAAAACTACTAATTAGTTCCAAGTTCCCAATACTTTTATAGTATTCAATTTCATCTTCAAGCAACTGATGTTCACAGACCATCAGGAAATCTACTTGATTGTCAGAGCATAATAATTTAAGTTCGATTGTCTTATTCCGCAAACACTGAACATTAATCAAACATAGGTTAAGCCTGACACAGTCTATTTCAGAATCAGTAGACTCAACACGATCTTTGCAAACTATTGACCTAAAAAAGGCTTCACATGTGTAGGACCAGGTTTTCTAGGAGTGAATTCCCTAATTAGAGTCCCTACAGGCCAAAAATCAGCATTCAAGATACCGTCAAAGTCATTAATTGGTACACCTACCTTGAAAGATGCATACGTCGGATACTTAGAGGTTAGTTTGACACAGTCAACACTTTTAATACCACCTCGTGTCACATAGTCCACTATAACTTTTTCAGTTACCTCTGGTTGACATCGAGAGATAAACAACCACGATTTCTTCTGCTTCTCCACAATTTTAAGGCTAGAACTGCCTTCATTAGACCCAAAATCAGTTTTTGTGCCAATGATAGGTTTCTTATTAGCTACCTTTTTGACAACAGGCGGATTTTTCACTATTCCGGCAAAACTAGTATTCAGAGGTCTAGGTCTAGGTTGACCAAGTTTAGGCTTAGAAGGCCTGTCACCGGGGATGGTTTCAATTATCAAGCTACGGTTTGAGTCAGATAATGTCTGGTTATTTACACAATTTTTGTCCTGATCTACTATGGGAAATTGCTGACAAGACTTAATCCCACCTACATTATTCACATCTAGGCCTACACCTGGTTGACCTTGGTCAAGGTCATGCATAAGAATTTGGCTTTCCAGTCTTAATAAAATCGTCTAATCTTTTGTTTAGTTTTATATTGTCATCTACGACATCCTTTACCATAGATATCAAACTCACAAAAGAAGAATTCAAAGTAATGAAGTCGTCAACATTGCCAATACAAGAACGTAATCTCTTGAGGTTAGAACTACACGACTCACAGAACCACGTACATTTGTCATTCAATTTTGCTATTTGCTCATATTCATTCTTAGATATATTTACGCATGAGATGTGATACCACCTCGAACAAAAACCTTCACAAGCTAGCGCATTATTATTACTTTTCACTAATTTGAAACAACTACCACAATTCGGGTCAAGTATACTATCCGCCATGACAGTCCACCAACAAGTTTTTAAATGGGAGTACTCTTTGAATCCAAAAATCAATTTTGGCATCCCTTTTCCTTTTACTCTACATTTTGCAAATAACTTAAGATGCACCATATTCTTTTCTCTTAATTGTACGGGCCATGTATTGCAGGAGGAGGGAGACCAGCAGTGGGGGAGGGAGAGCTGGATGTTGCCCCTATCTTCATGTCAGGACGCAGGGTGGGGGGAGTGGCGGGGCTAGAATGGGCCCCCGCCATGACTGTAGCCTCCAGACTGTTGGTGGATCTCTCCACCCTGCAGACGTTTTTCCAAGCCCCCTCCGCCAACAACATCCTCGATCAAAATAATCCAGGTAAGAGACAAGTCACAATTAGAAAATCAAAATGACAATTTCTTTAGGAGGATATCTGATAATTTGAATTGAATTGAAAACTCTTTATTGTTCTTTTTAGTTTAGTATTACAGGATATTCACAATTTATAATTAAATTCATAGGAAGGTTGAGTTTCCTTTTGTTATGTATAAGTGTTTAATAAAATGGATACTGAAGGAATAAACTTTGAAAATTTGGTAGGTGGAGGTGTATACCTCAACATACCTTGTATTTTTATGACGGTTAAATGTTATTTTTTCAAAGTAAAAAGTTCAGAACAAATACGAAACAAACAAATAGTGAAACTGGACAAAATTAATGGTTGGTAAGAGGCAGACACTTTTTTGTATATCAATTATTTCAAGTTGTTTATTTATAAATCTTAGTTTATCTACATAGTGGTTTTGTATTTGTTATTTTTCATTATTTTTATTTTGGAATAGCCCTTGGATCGCCAAACATTATTTTGAAAACCTGCGTATTAGTTTTCTCAAGCAAGGGACAAAATTTTTTTTGGAAATCCTTAAATTGTGTAAAATTTACTCCCAAGCTTCCTCTTTCTATTTAGTATGTTCTAAGTATGTCTAAAAAGCAATGTGATTTCTTTTAACTTGGTAAATGTACCAAGAAAATATTTCTATAAAGCAATGAGATATAGATGTTTGTATCTTGTTAAACATGTTATTGTGTACAGAAATGGAGAGCAGTATAGACATTCTACCAGAGTGGCTGAGAGTGCTGATTGTATGTGCTTGCTGGCTACACTCCTCTACTTCTCTACAGGTAAGATAGATAAGAATAAGAATGCAAGCATTAAAATAGGACTTCAGCATATATAAGAAATTAAGATCTTCTAAGAATGAATATTACTGAGAGAAAGACTTTCAGTTAATAACTGAGTTGTGTCTCGGCTAGTCTAGTGGATAAAGCCCCACTAAGAGCACTAGGGGAGGGGGTCACAAAGGCTGTGTGATAATGCCCGTGGCCCAATGGTTAGGAATCCACCTTAGTTGAGGTCTACCTCAACTATTTAATAAACAGAAAAGGGTATAACTTTCTCACTATTGTAGAACATCCTCCAAATCAAAGCCATAGTTTATGTCCTTTCTTACAAAAAAATATACCAAATACTGCAAAATATACTAGATATTTCTACTTCTAATGTCCCTACAAATCATACTTTCACAAACATAGCCCTTAGATCGCCTGCTTTTGGTTAACAAATTGTTAGGTGACCAAATGTTTACAGCCGATTCCAACACATTTTCATACAGGGTGAGTTTTAATTGTCCCCCCCCCCAACTTTTTTCTACATTTTTTCAAATATCAATCCCAGACCACTTCCAAACATTGTTCGGTAGTAAGTACTTCATTTTGACAAGGTGGTAATTTCCGGCCGCCATCTTGGATCCGCCATATTGGATGCAAAATATTTTTTTCAAATGTAAAGGTGGGGTTGTGACCCATTATTTCGAACTAGATTTTTACCCTGATAACAATGCCGCAAACCGTTAAAAAAATCTTGATTCATTCTAAAGTTATGAGGCCTTTTTAAACTTGATTTTTAGCCTATTTTAACATTGTGCATTTACAAACTAAGACCATAACCTCAAAATAGTGCTAGATAAAGATAAGTATACACTACCAGTTATTGTAAACCTATTTTCACTTATTTATGACTGATGTATTTTTTTCGGCCGCCATCTTGGATCCACCATTTTGAAATGGGATAAATTAATTTAAATATGAAGGGTGTGTTGTGACCCATCTTTTTTAAGCTAAACTCAATGCCGCAATCCATTTTTTGTTATCAAGTTTTATTTATGAAACATTGCAATATTTTTGTTAAAAATTTTAATATTTCAAAATCAAAATATGAAAATGAAAAATGGACCATGGAATTGAGTTCAGCTTAAAAAAGTAATCCGAAATGATAGGTCACAACACCCCTTTCATATTCAAAATAATTTATCACATTTCAAAATGGCGGATCCAAGATGGCGGCCGAAAAAAATACATCATTCATAACCAAGTGGAAATAGGTTGGCAATGACTGGTAGTGTATACTTATCTTTATCTAGCACTATTTTGAGATTATGGTCTTAGTTTGTACAAGCACAATGTTAAAATGGGCTGAAAATAAAGTTTTAAAAAGGCCTCATAACTTTAGAATGAATCAAGATTTTTAAAAACGGTTTGCGGCATTGTAATCAGGGTAAAAATCTTGTTCGAAATAATGGGTAACAACCCCCCCTTTACATTTGAAAAAAATATTTTGCATCCAATATGGCGGATCCAAGATGGCGGCCGGAAATGACCACCTTGTCAAAATGAAGTACTTACTACCCAACAATGTTTGGAAGTGGTCTGGGATTGATATTTGAAAAAATGTAGAAAAAAGTTGGGGGGGGGGGGACAATTAAAATTCACCCTGTATAAATTTGTTATGTACAGCCTTTGTTATGTCGCTAATCATGTTTTTGTTACATCTTGAATCCTCTACAGCTTCTAATTTTAACTTTTAGCTCTATCTACGTTTTGCTGTTTAGAAGGAAGGCTAAAAGTGTTTGATAATGTTACAGATGATAGCAATCAGCACACTGCTGGACTTAGTTACGTTGTGCCGCACAGCCCAGTCTCTGGTGGCTAGTTCCAACACTGACCACCAGAGTGTGACGACAGTGCTGATACTGCCTCTGCTCACCCCAGCTCACCTGCGCTACATGGAGAACCACACAAATATATTCCAGGTAACTAACACTAACGATAATCCATATATCAATAGATAAAAAAAAAGATAGATGCCTGAAAAGTTGGAATTAGTCTATATAATATCCAGAGATTGCCAAAAATCTTAGCAATATAGACTTTCATGCAAATAGCGAATCAGTCATAACAAGTACGTTTAATGCACCCTTATAAGAAAATAAGCCTATCTTCACATACCATCAAAACAGGTTGCTTCAGACACCCTGAGGTTGGATAGGCAAAAAAATCAGACAATCTACAGGACTGATACACTGGACATGGATAGCTCAGAAAGCATCTGCATCAAATGGATTTGTATGGTGTTGTCCCAAATTCAGGAAGTGAGGCAGGTCAGATGAGACTGCTGATCACCTGCTTTTTGATTGCGAAGGAGCTCTCTGACTCTGAGGTAAGAAGAAAAACCCTTAGCGATTTGGTAAGAGGGAGTCTCCTTCCTGAGGAGAAATTAACCGGTAGAACAAAGACATTCATAATGTTTCTTGATGTTGAAGGTCTCTGAATACATCAAATCGCTGTGGCTTGCAACAAATCTGACAAATGCGGAGGCTTTGGTTCCGCCCTTTCCAGATAAGATAAGAGTGTTTCATTGTGAAGTCTACATGGATCGTAAACCAAGGCAATGTTTACAGGTGATCGCCCACTGGCTGTGGGGTCAGCTGCACAGCACGGTGGCTGCAGAGAGAGTACGCAGTGTGGAGTTGCTGCATCAACTACAGAGTGCGTTGGCCTCCAGCGACGTGGTGGAGGATTGTGTAGGGGAGGCTCTGATGGCTCACTCCAGCGGTTCCAAGCTGGAGGCCTTCCGAACCTTCGCTACTCTCTGGCACATCGGCCGCGAGGTCAACGCTCGTCTCGGCAACTCTCTCCGGGTCACTGATATATTTTATAAGTAAGTTATGTGTCCACCGAGGAGTCTTGACATGTAGACATACAAGAGAAGTAGTTTGTATACATTGTAGTAGAGTAGAGTAGAGATTAGAGATTGAGATTTTTATGATTCTGACACAACAGGATACATAGCTTTTAAGGCGAAGATAAGTGAACAATTAGTGTTTAGTGAATGGGATGACTGCTTGGTTACTGATTAAGATCAGCTGTTTCCTTAGCTAGGAATTTTTACTAAATGCCCAACGATCAAAGAGAGCTGTGTCAGATTTTATTTTGAACCATTCACAGATTTTGACTTATCTCAGAATAGAACTGACAACTGAACGGATTAAAGATGGGAATCAAGTTGCAGATTTTGTTACTTAAGTTGTGATAATGTAGCATTTTGTAATAGAAAATTCAAAGTATTCTAAAAGTGAGTATTAGCTGGAAGCTTAGGTTATACAGGTTGATTACCTTGCAAATAAAACAGATGGCTGGAGGCTTTTACATAAATATTGAGAGCTTCTTACTCAGTTGTTAGATCAGGCTGATAAATAGGTTGGAAGTCTGTCGGCCAGAGTAGGGTGTTTGTTTAGAGAATTGGTCATAGTGTATTGGGTGAGTATTACAGTTGCTGTACTTGGATTGTACAAGGCTGTGTAGTTATCAAATTATAAAAGATAATGAGGTTGAGGTAAAGAGAGGGGCTTAAAAAACTGGAAATCACCAAAGAGTTAAATTTCCTTCAGTCCTAATTCAAAACGGGAGAGAGTGAAAAAATTGTGTTGTCTTATTATATGAACATACAACATTCTTGGATATTTTTTACATTCAGCCAACTACCAGAATTTTATTCTCTTAGTTTATGAGACCGAGGCCATTTTAAATATTTTGTAGACTATAGAAGTTCAAGTAAAGTTAAAGATCAATAAAAATTACCTTTGTTATAACTACTTTTTAATCTCATTCCACTTGCCAGCTGAAAATGATGCTTTTTAAGAAGTATGAAGAGTTGAATAAAATGTATAAAATGAAAGTATTTTTTGACATTTAATATTTTCAGGTCGATGCTGAAGATGCTAGATAATCTACAGTTGCCAGACAGCAGTGCATTGAAGGTAGAAGCTCAGAATTGGCTGCTACACTCTCTACTGAGGGGCGACATTCATAGACTGTTGGACCCTATAATGATGATGCTCTTAGATCCGGCAACTGCTAGGTATGGACTTGGGTTGTAAATGAGTTTTGAAACCATTGCAATTTTTTACCATTATTTACCTTATTTTGTTCTTATTGTATATGAAATCAATTGTTCAACACAACAAACAATTTTAACCAGATTTTAGTTTCTCAATTGCTAAATATAAAAAAACTTTGTTCTTTTTATGGCAAGATGTTAATAAACAATTTATTTTTCCAGAGTTAGTGTACTTCATGTACGCATCCAACAACATGACGAGACGAGTCAAACAGATACGGCCAACGCTGATGACAAGACGCCACGGATCTACGCTATCAGCAGTGTGGATGGAAACGTCATCTACCATGTGTCCGAAAAAAGCGAGACCAAACCAGGCAAGGCCAAGCGAGTGTTTGCTGTCCAGACCAAACTGGCCGGACAAGACTCGTCTAAACTCAACAGCAAGTTTGTCACAGAGAAAAAAGCTACCTTAAAAACAGACGACATGGGAGACCCTTACCAAGCCCACTCGAAAAATCTAAATTTGTTACAGAATATATCTGTGTTTGTAAATCCATTTTCAAGAGAAGGAGCACATAAAATAGAAGCTATAAATACGGATTTTGACGATTACTACGAAGAACAAAAAGAACAAAACGGTGATTTGATCGGGAAAGCTGTAAGAATAACTGCGACTGATTTAGATAAAAATAAAAGTAAATCTACAGAAGGTTCGAATAGGTTAGTTAGTGGTGATGAGAAACGGAAAAATGGAAACTTGAAGGTACAAAGGAACAATTCTTTAACATCTTTGGACACCGAGTTTGCACGAAGCGATAGTAATCAGACTACAAAATCATCAATAGATCTTCTTCAGCTATCTTCACTTTCAGATACAATCTTTACTAAGGTGAGCGACGGGGAAAGTTTGATCGAGAAGGCGCGTAATGGACGTGGTTCAGTGTCTAGTGAAGGTCTGGCGACAGCTGCTAGTGGAGATGGGAACGGAGAACTGGTGCGGAGTTGGTCGTTCCCCGGTAAAGACTCGGATTCTTGTGAGCCGGATGAGTCGGCTAGTGCAGAGGATTACTTTAAGGCACCTAACATGTCCGAGGCTTGTGCTGTTGTGGAGGAAGTGGTTAACGACTTGCTGGACAGAGTGGCTGCGCTCTCTGGAGAAGTGGAGGTAGGATTTCACAGATAATGTCCAGTAATTTGTTTATTTTTACTGAATGAAAGACCTGTATATACACTTTTTTTCTGTAAGTATTAATTGTTGCTATAAATCTACAAAATAATATTCTCAATGTCAAGAGAAAGTTGTTTTACAAGGAAACTCAGTATAATAATATCTTCAGCTTAAAAACAATACAGTTCTCAGTCTAATCTTAACTCAGAAACAAATTACAATTAATAAAAGTTAAAAATTAAATAAGATAAAATACCTATTAGGTTACAAAGACCAAGATTTCTATAAAAATTTGTATTTTTTTGGTGCATGATGAATGAGATGTGATTCTGGCTGTATTTATTGATAGATTGTGAAAGAGTCATCCAGCTCTGAGCCGAGTCTACGCAGCAACTCCATGTCAACGCCACGAGCGCCACGACGCCACCTGCAGTACAGGGCCTCCTTAACCTCTGGCCCAGTTGACCACCTACACTCCCACCTGCTGCTCTACTGTGGCGTTTACGACAGCCAGCGGGCGCTCTACGCGCTACACACGGTGCGCAACATGTTGGCCACCAATGCTAGGGCGTTCCTCTGCTCATCATCCACCACCGGTCTTGTCTCTAGGTAACTATACTATATAAATATAAAATTGCAAAGGTTTAAGTGCAAGTTATCAATCACTATAAGACTTGATTTGTATAATATTTATAATTATCTTACTAGTCTTGTAGGTTATATGGCATTAACTTAAAATGTAATTTTGCTAATGTAAACTCAGAATTATTATCAGTTGCACTTTGCATCTCAATAATAGTTTCTTCCTTCTTTTCAGACTTAGAAAATCACCTACATGCTGCTTAATTGTTTATTAGTCTCTAGTTCAGGCAACGAAGTAATGTACAACCGTAACAACAACCAAATTTGCTTATCATCTAATTTAACACGATTTGTACTAAGAAAACAACAGGACACTGTATATTTTCGACCTTATAATTTTTAAGGATTTTATTTAGGGTTTGGATCTATTGATTTATTTGTAACATGGATAACAAAAATAAATAGTGTCAAGGTCAAGACAATCAAATAAATAATTTTCTGAACCAAGTGGTTATAGTGAAAACAGTAAAAATTTTAAAGGCCGCTTGTTCGATTCCAAGCAAAATTGTGACAGGACTCAGATACCTTGTCTTTGGGCTATCAAATCAAATTTTTAAAAATTTTCATAAAAAATTTACATATTTCATACATTTAAACCCTCTCAATGACGCTATCTAACATAAGGTCAATATTGGATGGTAACAAGACCAGGGTTTGGACTGTTTACTTAAACGTAAAATATGCCAATGGCGTAAATAACTCCAAAATATGTTTACTATTTATTTTCTGAAGCCAGGCCTAACCTAAAGGATTATTAAGCTAAAAACCTAGTTCTAAAAAAATTTTAAACTAACTATTGCTTAATTCTCAAGGAACATAATAGTTCAGTTTAGATCTTAAATTGTATCTATGTTTATTTTTTATTGTCTTTTGTTGTTGTAACATTGGTAAAGGTGTAGCACTTCTGTGTTGGTCGACCAGATTCAAATCTTGCTACTCATTAATCACAAAAATAGTCATAGTGGTTAAGCAAATTGTATATGTATTACCAAATTCTCTTCTCTAGAAGCCTAACTATGATTAATCTCACAACATACTCATATTAAACTCTATATATCATAAGCTGAACATAATTTAAGAAACTAAGTAAATCACACGATCAACATTATGTTTGCCAGGTCACCACTGCTAAAGCTGGTCTCCAGACATCGCAAGTCCATCTTCGGCCGAGGTTTCCTGGGAGAGTTGGACGCTAGCAGCACTCGCAGCTGTATGTATGTAGAAGTGATAATCACCACATGTATGTACTACATGCGCAGCTTCTACCCCAACCTGGGCCAGAACAAACTGACAGCAGACGAGATACATGCCAACAGACAGGTAACTAAACACTTAATGTGTCATTCGACTATTTTTTCTTTTTTTTTTTTGCATTTCTATGGCTGTGGTATATATTTACTATCTAACATTGACCTTTAAATTAGATAGCAACATTAATTGTTATGATATCCCAATGACTAATGGCATCTGGGTGTAGAACCATCTTGCTTGGAATCGACCAGCCATATCTTCACCAACAACTGCCACTAATTCCTAAAACTCTGTGTTTTTCATTGGAACTTTCGTAAATGTGATATACTTCTATTCTTACCTCAATTATTTCCATAGTCATTAGTTCCCGGTATCTTAATTCACGTATAACATGCTCCTTCAAAAAAATTTCAATACTTTACTAAAGATTTGTCTGTTATCACTATTAAACATTGTAATTACAAAACATATGTACGTATGTAAAGCAAGCTGGTTTTTGATTTACAGGTGCAGATCAGCAGTGTAGAACTGTTGTCGTTAGTGTGTTACGAGTTAACAGCCATTGTGAGAGACAGTGGCCGAGGACTGGCTTGCTACTTGAATGACCTCCTGTCTCGGATAAAGCTGCAGAAGATCACGCTGCACTGTGTACTGACCAGCATCCCTACCTCGGCTAAGGCACTGCGGTCGTTCACTCATGAGATCCTCACGTTCAACGAGAACACTGACGAAAGTCTGGCAAACCAGAGCGAGGCGTTCCAAGTGCAGATATTGAGGTGCATACTTATCATTATGTATATCAGGATGGTTATTCCTATTCGCTCAAAAACATTAGGGATTATGAAGTTTTATTGTAATGTTTACAGTTTTATATTCAAAGTAAGAGGGATTTGACCTGTATTCTGAAATTATATAGAAATGCTGTGCTATATTATCAAGGAAAGAGATCATTTTTTCTTTTACATTCTTTTAAGTTTCACTTTGAGAAAGAAAAAATTGGAATAGGTATATTTGTTTAACAAAGAGCCTGAAATGTCTGTATGAAATTTAGCTCAAACCTCTCAGTTTGATTATGATTTGTACACAGTTGAGCATTAAACATGCTTACATACCACTAGGCTCTCGTATATTAGTAAATTCCTCAATTTTGGTCATTAATTAACTCTACCAATAGTAAGCTCTTTTTTGGATACTCAAAGACCAGACTCTTGTAGAAACCTAAAAAAGTCCAAACCATCAAAGGTTAATGCAAAAATGAATGAATGTATTTAAACCCTAATTCAGGTTTCTTCTCTCACTGATAATGTTGGAGCACGAAGTGAACCAGCGGAAGGGTGAGGGTGAGGAGACGAAACATGAGTCACACAGTAATGGAGAGCTGCGGTACGTGACAGGCCGACCCCTCCCTCAGCAGCCGATGTTGCTGACAGCTATCCTGCGCGCACTAGAGGCCCCGGGACGAGCTAGCTATGCACACACTCACTGGACGGCGCTGGTGACCTGCGCGCTGCCGTACCTGGGCTCGTCCCTTACCAAGGTTGTCACCGCTGTGGTGAGACAACTGTGCGCCAATGTGGAACAGCTGAGCCGAGCTTACGATCCTGTGGTTGCAGATAGTGTCAGGTATGGAACTCTTGATGGACTAGGTTTTAAGTACTTTGTTGTTAGCAAGTTACATGTCCGATTATAATTTACTCAACGCAATGTTTGAAATAAAATGAAATGAGAAATGAAATGAGAATCCTTCTTTATTGAGGCGAACTTAGGACCTCATGGTCCTTTCTTACAGTTAACCTCTATGTTTCATCAATATCAATAAATGATTTGCTAAATATTTCAGCACCATAAATTTAATTTATCTATACTATTATAAAATTTAGGTGGTGACTGTCTGTCTGTCTGGGCAGCTGTCATGACATTTCATTATGTGATGGTATTTGTATTTTGTTCCAATTGTTCTGGTTTTTTTCTTGTTTGAGTTCAAGTCAAGTGCAGAAGTTCTACATCTGCATTTGATTTCTTAAAATATACCTTACACTTGCCAATTTAAGAAAAAAATAAAAAATTATACCTTTCATATTTGCTTGGTTGAATGTTTTAATGCTGAACTGTTTTCCTCAGTATGCCAGCCGACTACGCTATCACGCAGGTGGAGGCTTTGACAGTTCTATGTCACTACTGCCTCCTTGATACAGCCACTCCCTTCACCTCCCCTCTAGGCGGCACCTCTACACCTGCACAGATATTCAACAACCTCATACATGTCTTCATGCCGTCGCCCCTGCTCATGGTAAGAGACCAACACATTGATTGTGCAATAAGTTTACTGGGTAAACACAGGTCTAAAAAAACAATCAATCTTAAAAACACTTGTTTTTATGTTTTATATATTCTAGCTGTTTACATTGAAATACTAATCATTAAAAACCTGCTTTCTGTAATCACTTAGTTGTTTTTTTTTTAGAAAATTGGTTGGATGTCAAGAAATCAAAATTTAGATTACAAATATATGTACAATGTACATAACAGTATTGCTCAGTTCACGTTCACGTCTGTTAATTTTTCTAGTAAAATTTTTTTTATTTTTATTTGTTTCTCTTTTGCAAAAGTTTTATAAAGTACGTTGATGACCTTTATATAATAAATTGTATAACTACTAATATTAATACATCATGCACTTGTTGAATATGATTTTACAAAGTTAAAACTAATAATTGCCTTTAGCAACTATGGGATTATCTAGAAATAGGTGTCTGGTTTACTCTGAATAACTTTTGCGTAAACAAGATCTTTATTTACTTATATTGCCCAATAACACAATTTGGTAGATATATTACATTAACTATTCTTAAGTGTATAATGAGTACTGTAGTAGCTTCTTGATCATCACTAAATATGTTTTTTACAATAATTGCCACCAGTCATCATCAGGCCCAAATCAAGATTGAGAGAGTCAAAATTGCGTCCTTTTGCTATTAGCCATGAGAAGTATCAGAAATAAACATTGATATCTTCCGTTGTTTTGTCAGTATCAAAGTTAACTGATTCATTTATAGATTTTACCCTATCATTTTTCTATTACTTTTTATTGTAAATGTACAATTCTTCCAACAAGTAGTGTGGGAGTACGTCTTTAATTTAACCACTTAGTCAAATCTTTTTTAGATTGTTTATAATGTTTTAGTATAGTTTTTTATTAAAATATCAGATATACCTAAATGAGAAATGCTACACATTTCACAGCTAACAATGCTTGCAGGAGTTTTGGTATGTAATTTTTTTAACTGTATTTTGGTTTTGTGTATTTTGTACAATTTTTGAATATAAAAAACTGTTTTTGTAGGTGATTTCGATTTGGTGTAAAGTTGAACACAATTGTAAATAATCAAAACACAAAACTAAATTCACTTATCTTGAGTTTCTCGTGTAGCTGTCAGGGATTTTTAATTTTTGTTGATTGGCGTATTTCAATTATTGTAGAAATTAAGACTCAAGAATAACATGTGTAAACAAGCCCCTAAATAAATTATGTACAGTAGACTCTCGCTCATGCGGATCGGCCTTGTCCGGACTCCCGCTAGTCCAGATTGGCAATCATGATTTTTTTAGTGGCACAGTATAGTAGAAGTCCGATTATCCAAGCTAAACGGGACCGACACTACCTCGGATGATAAAAAAATCGGATAATACGGCAGTAAAAATTATTACTGGTAGAACTGCATTTGCTATTATGAATACTGTTGGCCTGGAACAAAATTGAAAAAAACGGCTATATACAGTACTGTATTTGCTCGATTCTCGATAGTCCGGATTTTTCGTAATCCGCACCGAACGTCCGCCACATTAGTCCAGATGAGCGAGTGTTTACTGTAAATGGGTAGTAATTCCATGGATCGTGTTATCATACTCGGTTGATCCAGTGTTTGTATAGAAAAATACTTATAATTAAACTTTTTTTATAACTGTTAAAATAGCAGTAGAGAGTTCTTGGCTTTATGTAACTATAACTAACTTCCCTATTGAGTTTTTTGTAGACTGCACTTAAGATATTTTAGTTTTGAATAGATGTATCTATGATGTAGGCCTACATATATTTCTATAAGAGTAATCTAAAACATTCTAGTAAATAGTTTTGAAAGACTAACTTTTTATAACTTAAGTCATATCTCATTGCAATGAATGGTGAAACTACAGGTTCAAATAAAAGAAACTGAAAAAAATCTTTCTTTTAATTCATAATATTAAAAGAAATTTAATATAAATATTTTTTGGAAGTTTTTGTCAAACCTTGATGTATTATTTTATATATATATATATACTGCACTTTAATGTATTTCTTTTGTTCTTTGATTCTGTCTATAGCAATGTAAATTGACAAATGACAATAAATGGATTCTTATTCTTATCTTTTGTGCAGAACAAAGAGAAGCCCGAGCCGCAAGCGACGGCCCGTAAAGCGGTGCTGAGCAACTTGCCCCGTGTGATAGCCAGTGTCGCTGTGCTGTGGCATGCGCTCACTCAGCGGAAAGAGAGGTAACTTACCAGGGACACTTTGGAAACATTATATAATAGGTTACATACCTTGGTCCGTCTTCAATCTTATCTTAGTCTATGGATGACTAGTTTCGGGTACAAAGACCCATTATCAAATCAAATCCTTTAAAACATCATGTTGAATTTGGTCAGAAATCCTACGGAAGTCTTCATCAATATATAAATGCAGGTCGACAAATAAAGTTTACAATTTAAAAACACAAATTACAAAACATTTAAGACGATAGGCCGGCCACATTGAACACGGGACAAACCTATGTAGGCTAAATGGCGGACACGACAGAACCCGCCAGTGTTTAAAAGGATGTGTTGATGTTTTTAAGGATTTGATAGTGGGTCTTTGTACTCAAAACTAGTCATCCATAGACTAATATAAGACTGAAGACTGACCAAGGTACGTAACCTATTATATATTCCAATATCGGTCTTGGTGGCAAAGATGTTTAAATTTGGAAACATTGTTTCACTAATAGACTGTTCTTAATTAATCTTGGCTGTATCTAAAGAATGATGATTTTCTATTTTAAAATCTGTTTAATTTTCAATGTTTTGAAGTTGGCACCTTTCAACATTAAGTACTAAGGTTGTGTGTCCCATCTCAGCCCTGCTATTTCCCAAAGCAACCCATTTTATGTCCCTAGCTCCATACAATTGTTAACAAATCCAAATCTTAAACTATTTCTAACTAGTGCATTAAACTTTTTATTCAATAAGGACCACCCTAGAATTTGTGACTTTTTTAATTATCTCCAGTAGTTGCTTCAAAATAAGTAATATGCGATGTATTTACATTTTAAAATCTCTTAGTAATATTACAGATACACAACAATGCTTGCAGGAGTTTTGGTATCTTAATCCCAAACAATACAACTAACATTTCGGTTTTGTGGGTCAGTTTGTGGATTTATATTTATGGTGTTAAGGAAGTTGCCTTGTTAATGAATTGTTTATAAACTTATTTCCATTTAAGATCCTTGGATTCTTTTTTAAAATCTCCAAGTAGATAGTGATAAATTAGACTTCTTTTTTGAGCTGTAAGATTTGACTTGTAAATTTTAAATTTAAAATCTTGAAAAGGTAATACTGTTCTTTTTTATTTCATTGTCTTGCAAGGCACATTGATTAGAAACTAAAACATTATGACACAGTTGTACCCAGACCTAGTTGGTAGTGTACAAAAATCATTGAAAACTGATACGTTTGTATAGGGAGAGTGAAAACTGCGAGGCAGGCAGTGCTAGAGTAGTCAGACAACAGCTGTTGGAGTTCCTCAGTCCCATCGCACTGCATCACGGCACCAGCTTCCTGGCGGCCATGGCAGTCGTGTGGCGGGAACGCAGACCTACCACACTGCAGACCAACTACACTGTGAGTCTAGAAAATATTTGTTGTGTGTAACTCATACGGGTATTTCTACCCGATTAGAATTTTTCAACAATTTTGTAAGAGCACGGTTTGAGCTGGTCTTATTACTCTGTAACAGGGACCATTTGTTAGTAGGAATGGTTAAATAATGTTAATGGCCATGATTGATAATGCTCGCAATCAAATCTTCGGACGTCAGAGGTGTTTATTTTTTATTTTTGAGAAAATGTGTCAAAGTACTTTGTGTGGTTGAAGCTATGTTAACACAGAACCCCCGTTAACTGAAACCAGGGTAACCCGAAACGGTTTCATAAATTAATACAGGGATAAAATATGTACAATATGTAATATGTAAACAGCGAGGCATGGAGCCGCTCTCTCTAGAAAGGAGCTTTTTTAACCCATTGTAAGATTTTTTTAGCTGAAATAAAACACTATATTATATTGACATTGTTTTTAATTCATTGTTCCTACACACCATGGTAATACGTAGGCTAATTTTAGTATATGATGGGTTAACCAAAAAATTGGTTATCTGCAACGGCTCTCCCCCCTTAATTCCGGGGTTCTAAACCTAAGGGGGGTGTCAAACCCCTTAACTGAGTTTCTACTGCATAGGTTGGGTTTGTTTGAAAAAAATCTATGGTTCTATAAAAAATAAACACCTTCTGTCTAAAATCAAAGGGCAGTTAGTTTAAAGAACCTCTGGAAGATTTTGGAATGACAAAATAATGTGATAGGTTTTTTTAACACAACCCAAATTACAAAAGTACCTGGAGAAACAAGCTAATAAGCTGGTAGCTCTGTACCTTTTACTTCACTGCCAATCCGCTTAAATGCATTGATAGATTGTTACCTACACGGTTTGGTGTTATAGAGAATTTATTTTAAATAAGGCCCAACATGGTGTGTTTGCAAGCTTTAATACTGTGCATTGTAGGCTTACGTTTTTGTTTTCTCTAGATCCCAGTTTTTTTTTTTTATTTCAACTCTACAATTAGCAGTATGTTATCAATGAGTGCTGATGTAGGTGATGTCTCCGGCCAGTGAAGGTCAGCAAGTGTTGGTTCAGCTGCTGAGTGCCATCAAAGCCATGCCGATAGACACCCTAGTGCAGACGCTACACCAGGTGGTCAAACAGCCTGCCATGAACCAGGTAACTGTATATAATCACTTGATATACACTCTCATTGTGACAAAGAGGGTATATTACATTGTCATATCTGTTTAAATTTACTCAAAATCTACTCATAATATATTGCATGGGGATGTAAATTTTTGTTTTGTTTGATTTTATACACAGCAAATTGTGTTTAATGTCTTCTTTAATGTCTCTGTCACTGATATGACACTCGATCAAAACATTTATTAATTGTAAGTAAAAATAGGCGAGGGATAAAACAAGACTCTTCTGTATATTCAAAAAATTTTAAATTTTACAATAATTTGCCAAAAAGGTACAAGACTTTCATGAAAATTGTTTTAAAAGTAAGGTTATATATTTTCCCATGTAGGCCTACAATTTTTTTTTTCAATGTTTATAACACTGCAACATGGACTGTTGCTGATTTTGATTTGTTTCTTTGTATATACTGTTCCTACTATAAATTAAGAAAATGAAACTGTGTCCAGATTGGTGTAATCGCTGAAGTGCTAATGTATTTATATTTATAGAAATATTTTTTGGGCAAATAATGACTTCTGAGTTTTATAAAAAGTTGAATTATGTGTAAGATTATGGGAGACGAACAAATTTTCAAGAAACAATATAGTAACCCTAGGTTCTTAACTTTATAGTTTGTTTTACCACTTTGAGGATGTGTAAAGTAATTCTTATTAGCTGCGAGTTTAGGCCCTAACTATTCAATGTGTTGACAGCAAACCGCCATGAGTGTGGAGGTGTCGGCTCTCGAGCTGTTCCACCACTACTTACAGCTGGTGGCAGGGGTGAGTCTAGCGGAGAGCTGGGGTTCGCTGCTGTCACTGCTGAGAGAGGGGCCGTCACTGTCTGCCCCCGCACAGTTCCTGCTGGTGGGCGTGCTCAGTCAGTTTGTGCACCGCTGCCCCCCACTGCAGGACAAAAAGGACCACCGCGACCTACAGGACATCACTGCCAAGGTATAATACAGGTGTAATATAACTCCTTCTTTTAAAAATTGAGTTATATTGAAATTAAGTTTGAACTATTAAAATCTTAAATAAGCCATGCATTTCATGGTTAAATCAAACTAATATGGGCTGATTCTAATTCACTTCTCAAAGTTTTTGATGTAGGGTGTTCTCCAGAGATAAATAAATATTCAAGAAATTGAACACTAAAATCTTTATTTTAAAAACTTGAACCGACAAACTGAAAAAATGTCATTCCGAAGATCAGTATATCTTAAGATGGTAAAATAAGAATGATTAGAAACAGGCCTAAACATCCTCTTCACAATATTTTCATAACCTTCCTTAATTACGCAAACTTTTCTAACAACTTCGGCAACCGCTGTAACATTCTAAGTAACCGTCCTAAAAAATGCCGAAAGTATTAAAAATCCCCCCCCCCTCAAAAAAAGCTGATACAAATTTACCAAATTTGTTGTTTGAACACCCTTATTTAAAATTATGTTGCACGCACAGAAAATTATTTTAAATATGTTAATATTAAATATTAACATAACATGTCAATTGTTATATAAATATAACAAATATGTGACAAAATTTTTAAAATTATTGAAATAGTTTGTAGTAACTGAGTAAAGATGAAACATATGATTTTGCAGCTGGTGGAGTCGTGTTCGCAAATCGCCGGTGCTAATCTGGAACAAACGACGTGGTTGAGGAGGAACTTGGCCGTGAAAGAGGAGGAAATCCCACAACCTCCCTCGCCTGAGTGTGCTGATAAATGTAAGTTGTAACTCCAACAATACAAACATTAACTCATGTTATGCCATTGTACCTCTTTGTATCTCTTTGTTGTCTTATGATTTTTTAACAGGAACTTAATTGATGGTTGGATTATTTTTCAGTAGTACAAAGTGTAACTGACATTAAAAATTATCAAAATTTATAATAACGATCCCTCTTACTAGAAGAATCTTAGCATAAAATGCATGTTTCTCCACCAATAATCCACGTTGTAAGACAGTGCTTATCTCCAAAAAAAAAACCAAAAAAAAAACACATGTTCTTTTACTGAGTTAGGTAAAAATTTGAGATGGGATAAATTCTTGGATAAAAGTTGCTTAAATAATTGATTCAGACATTTGTTTTGCAAGAAAACAAGTTTTCCATTTCAATAAAATATGCTTGAAGTGTCTGTGTGAAAGTGTTACTTGTGTACCTGTTGTGTAATGTAATTGCTTATTAATACAAGGGTTGTATGTAAATTAAGGTCTCCATTTAGCTCTTGTCGCAGCCAAGCATGCTAGATCAAATCCAAGACCAACTTTGTATTCCTTACTTTACATCCACTAATATTCTAGCTACCTCGGGTATTGGACGATGAGTGTCGTCACAATATTTGAAAACGCTGTGAAAGAAAATTGACCCTCGAGGAAATTTAAGACCACCTACGATTTCCACCCTTTGCACACATTTTCTACATCCAAATACACGACTCCATTCACGTCAACTAGTGATCGACTTATGTGTGGCTTACAGCTGAAACCACCGGGAACCAAGTCACAAACTGTAATTGGCAATCTGTAATTGGCAGGTGCTTCAATTTCACTAAACGTTTACGAATACTGTGATGAGAGTAATCGTTTATAGTTGAGAATGGGCAGGAACAGTAGTGGATGAAGCAAAATACACTACGTTGGTCTCAGATTTGATATAGCTTGGTATGCTGGGACAGGAGCTGGATGAAGACTTCATGGACAACACTCAGAGAAGTTTAACTGTTGGATTAATATAAATTGAATAGCTTTATTACCATTTCTAATCAATTTAACAACTTACAATGACAATAACACTAACTGTATAAATTTTCTACTCTTCAAAATTTTGGATTTTTATTTATCGATCAAAGTAAGTAATCATAAGTAATAATTTTGGATAATTTATTTATATATTACATTTTTGTCCTTGGGAAAGTGTATATTTAATTTTTAATAGAATGGGGAGACAAAATAGAAAACCTCCAGTTTATTTGGTTTTGTTGCATAAATCTTTTAACTTCCAAATTCAAGAATTTTTATTTTTATTTAGATTCTTAAAATTAGGCCTCCTACAAATTTGTTTGGTTATAATGTGAAGATAAATAAATAGTTCTTTATATTTTTAAACTTTGCATGTTTAAATTTTTTTGGAATCATTCGATTATTTTTACACATTTTCTAACTAAAGAGAATATGACATCCATTCTCATTGTTCTTTTTTGTAGCTTTGATGTTGCTTTATGTTATATTTTTAGAATATACAATTTAAATAGTTAAAATTTCTTTAGAATTCATTTCAGCCTTTATCAAGCTTTTAATGCTATTTTACATCACAGCGTAATATTTAACATGAAATGAAATTACCTGACTACATTAGAGTGAAATGTAACTCTCTCGTTACCCTTAATCAATACAAGGCAAATAATGGTTGAATCCACTTGTCCAGTTTGGAAAAATATTTAATAAACTATCCAATCAATAAAATTGTTGATATTAAAGTGACATGGAATCCCACTTTCGCATGACTTTTTTTCTCCGAGTGAGCATGTAGGGGCCAAAAAAGCATGACTACCGTTCCATTCATTGTCAATAACAGTTTTTGTCACTGTTAATCTTTGTTGCATGATTCCAGATGTCAAGTGTTTACCGTCTCTAATTTACAATGCAGATTTTTCTACTTTAACTTTAAATCTACTTTAAATAGCCTTGAAATATTTTCACAGATGAAATATTGGTTGTTGCCCGTTTGTATAATGCACAATCGCTTTCGCTTTGCCTTGTGTAAATCTATATGAAAAAGCTTAAACTGCACTATTCTGTAATTTCACCATTTGAACCTGTGTAATCTGTAACCATTAGCACATTGTATGGTGTTATTTGAACATTCTTCCTGTATTGTAAGTATTTCTTTTATTTCAGAGATATTTTTTACAAGTGGTTTAATTAAATAAAAATGATTAAAAATCTATCTAAAAAATCAACCATACACCCAAAGGAGTTCAGAAAATTTTCAAATTGAGCATCCAATGTCCCAAACAAGATTTTAAATCACCTCGACAAAAGTCTGTGAAAATATTTGTTTATATTTACAAGACCAATTTTGTAGTATCTGTGTACTACTTGTTTTAGTGATATAGATAATCGTTAAAAATACTCTAGATAGATTAGGTGTTAGAGTAGTTTTCGCTTCAGTGGGTTGAAAGTGCTCTCAAGCGGCACATTTACCTTTCCGTTATTATCCATTTAGATGAAGAAATAGAATCAGAACCAGTGGTTAACGGCATAGACAACCTTACCTCTTACGATGTCTCGCTCTCGCCGGCTAAGAAGAATAAGTCCAAATCGAAACTGAAACGAGTGACGAAAAAGATCCGGCAGGACGCTGAAAAGCTGCAAATCCGAGCACTACATCAATGGTTTTCTCGCTCATTTGTGCATGAGGGAAATTTCCCTGTAGACACGGAAAGTTTACGAAGTAAGTATAGTCGTGAGGGAGCGGGGCATGAATGCTGCTTGCTTGGGCTTCATATCACACTGTTGTACATACTCACTGCCTGCCTTTTCTTCACATCCGCCATATTGGATCTCTCGCGAAAAAACTACTCATAGATGTTTTTTTTTCATGTTTTTGTATTTACCAAATTTATCTTCACAGAATTAAAGTTGTAGTCATTATCATTTTCTATATACATGTACATTTATTTCATCGTCCCCCTCTCAATCATAGTGAAATAACCTCATAATAGTTGTTTATATAGTTGGAGCTACCTGAAAAACTATACATATCCTGAAATAACCTCTTTTACTATAACATTTCAAATTATAACTACTTTTTTTAAATTATAATATATTTGGGTTCTCTTAAAATATCTTTTTTGTTACTGTTTTTTCCCCCGAATTGACTCTGTCTAACTCGGTAAAATCAAATAAAATAACCAAAAACTCTGAAAGTGCATAGGAGTATAATTTTTAAATCTTGACAACAACAAAACAATGTGATTTCTTATTACATTTTCAAACCTGTATTATTAGGAGAGGCATGGGAAAAAAATTAGTTATACATTGAAGTCTTCCAAAGTTTACCCTCAATAACAAAGCAGTTTCAATTTCTCGGTGAATGTTTGCATTTAGATACAAGTTTCACAAAACACTCTACATGTGTTATTTACGGCCCTGCAAGCAACCCTAGGGTCAAACTACAAATTCGTTAATAAAATAGTTACAAATTGCTTTTGCCATTGGAATCTAGTGCTACTTGCGGACAGTTTTATTATTAAGATCAGGACATGAGTCATAAATATCAAACAACCGGAGCGTTAGCCTTAAACCAGTCAATACCATAACCATGAATTTGTTGGGAAAAGGTAAGTCATTTATTTTCTTTAAAAGTTTAAACTTAAATTTTAATTGCCAATGTTTTTCAGAGAAATATGAGGAAAATATACTATGTTACTTTCTCAGTTTAAATTTTTGACCCCTTTTCCTCGTAACCCTTAAATGCAGGACCTTTTTGGTTCACATAATACAGAGTTTGTGGGACTGTACTGTTTTTTTTTTTTTTTTTTTTTTTTTTTAAAAAAGAGGTTGGCGGCCTCTTTTAACCTTGCATTTGCCCGTCCACATAGACTAAGCGCCCGTGCGTGGATCGTTTACAGCAAAGCAAGGAGTGAGCCGGTACAGTACAAAGGTGAACTGTACTGATAAAATGTTATCGGCAGTGACCAGGATCCGAACCCACGACATCGCTGCCTTGGGCCCGAAGTCCGCGACGCTACCGACTGAGCCACCGACTCACTAAACTGTATTGGTGACTCACTGTATTGGTTATCTTGGTTTTTGCTTATTTCTAGTCTAGTAGTTCTGTAAATACAAATCTTTGTTGAAAATAGTATCCCACTGAGTTGTATTTAAATGTTTTATCACCTACACCAGAGTCCCAATGTCCACCCAAAGCCATCTAGTCCAAATGTCCGGATTATCTGACCCATCCCTTGAGGTAAAAAGGTTACGGGATTTAAACTAAAAAAAACTATGTATTCTGAAACACTAACCAAGATATCCAGTTGACCGGGAACCAAGAATTGTAGTGTAGGTGAATTTCAATGACCCTTGAAAAGTCTTAAAATCCAACGTGCATTTTTTACAGTCTGAGAAATGTTTAATAACTGCCAATATCCAATACTTTGAATTTAAGGCATTCTGTTGGTTCTTTATTAAGCTCGTCATGAAATAAGAAGAACACAATCGCATGAGATGATCATAGTTGAGGTGATCGAAAAGGGTAAATCACAGATGTTTCTGCCATTGCAGACGATCATGATGTCGACGTGCTTATGGGTAATAATGTTGTTGCCGTGATTGCAATAGCAGTATGACCATTTACCCTCATAAAAGTGCTGTGTTTAATTTTTAAAAGAAATTTTACTGCATTTACGGCCCATGTGAACAATTTGTAAAGGTTTTTTTTATAATTTTTGGTGCACCACCACCTCCCTCCCATTACATGTGCTATGTGGCATGGGGGCTTGCTGTGCACGATTCATCCCCCCCCCCCAGGTGTTCTGTCCCCCTCACCTCATCATGTTAGATGTAGATAAATGGGAATAGTTGTAGCAAATATAACACGTGATTAGCAGTGCTTTAGACACACCAAATAGAAATCCCGTTTTATATTGCTTTTGATTGGTTAGCATTTCATCGGCCCAAACTTGTTTTAAATTATATTAGCAATGTTAAACTCTGTAGACATGTACTAGTTTACCTTATTGTATTTATATGAATCCAATCATACCGTAAACGGAGGTAAGTTATTTAGGTTCAATTCTGTCTACTAAGTCTTTGGAACAGAAAATACCAAGGATATGTTAAAAGTCAGGTGGAGAAAGGATGCCATTTATATTTGAGGTAACTTTATAACTGATAAATATAGGTTGTTTATATTTTTGTAGGTTGGTTTTGTGTTATTATAAAGACAGGCTTTGTTACTAAAATGATTAAGTTACATTGTTTCCTTCTTTTCAAAACTTCATTACTTGTTGGAGTATTTTTCTTGTTAGTTTCTGGAAGGGATTTTGCATTATATAAAATTCAAGTTTTGCTGTCATGTCAATGGATTTAAAATGTAATATGTGAAGGATCTCATATAGTATTGACAAATATTTTATATAAAAAGGAAGGAATTTGTTTTTGTTTTTTTCTTGTGGTGTGTATTTATAAGAATCCCAATATTTGTGAAAAAAATTTTTCCCATTTCAACAGGGTCTAGGTTTATTTTTTATATCAAAGGGCTGGCTTCTACTAATGCTTATGTTTTAACAGGTTTATGTACGATTACAAATTAAATTTCATATTGTCTCAGATTTTTATGTAACAATCTATTATGTAGAGAAAAAGCTGCTATTTAAATAATATTTTGTGTATTTATTTGTTAGCCCTTCATTTGAATTAATTGAATCAATTCTGTATTCACTTTTTAACTTTGTCAAAAAAGATTTTGTTCACATTTTTGTGAATGATTTTTAAACTTAAGATATTAGCTTCTTCTCTACCAAAACCATTCTCTTAAATGTAATCCTTCTATTTCTCATTCATCTAACTAATGTAAATCTCTGATTTATTTCCTAAAAACATTTATTATTATATGTTTTATAATTATTTGTGGTAATGGTCTTTATGATTTATAATGTATTTGATCAGTTCCTATATTTTTTATAATCTTTCCTTGATGAATTTATCTGTTAAAATGTGTAAGTTTGATTTGAATGTCCTATTTTAATTTCATCTAGCCTACTCAAAATTTGTGCTGGAATAAAAAAAAATAGTAATAATTGGTTTTGAATTTTGAGACACCATTTCCATATTTTCATTCATTCATTCATTTGTGAATTTGTTATATGTGTATTTTATAACGGTTTCAACGTAAGCTATCGAAAAAAAATGATCATGCATGTTGTTTTTAAAATTATTTTTACAATCATTTTGGTGTTTTACTTAAGCTTGTTCACAAATTTGTCTTTATTAATTTTCAAAATCCATCTTTACTTTACTTTACATTTAATACTAAAATCCTAATACAGGGTGATTTGTACTCAGTGTGACAAAATTTTTTTGATGTAAGTACAAAGTAAATGAAGTGTGATGATGCATATCAAATGTTCCAAGTCTCAAAATTAGCATCCCGAAAAATTATTTTATGTTTTTCAAAAATAACCATGCTTTTAAACTTAATACAGCGATTTCTCAATTACCTGTATATGGATTTGAGTAGATAATGTCATTTTCGTGTTCTACATAAAATTTTGAACAAGAATAATACAAAATGACAGAGGATCAGTTGTAAAAACTCCATTGTAAATAGATTCAAAGATAAAAATTAAAATGTTTGATAAAAAGTTAAAAAAACAATGGTCTATTGCATTTTTCACACCCTGTATACAAGAAAGTGTCGGAATATGTTAAAAACTGCGCCATTTTATAAGCTTTCCAACCATAACCTACGTTATTGAGGTTTAGATATTTTTTTGTTTGTAAGAGTGGTTTGAATACCAGAAAACAGGGAACTTTTTACTGTTTTTACTGTTCAAGCTGAATCAAAAATACAACTTTTGCTTAATACATGCCGACTTTCTATGTTTTAAATGTTAAATACACCATGCTTTGCAGTCTTCAAACCATTAAAGCGTACATAAGCAGACATAAACCTCAATAGTGTAGCATATCGTTGGAAAGCTTATAAAATGGCGCAGTTTTTAACATATTCCGACACTTTCTTGTATACAGGGTGTGAAAAATGCAATAGACCATTGTTTTTTAAAATCTTTATCAAACATCTGAATTTTTATCTTTGAATCTATTTACAATGGAGTTTATACGACTGATCCTCCGTCATTTTCTATTATTCTTGTTCAAATTTTATGTAGAACACGAAAATGACATTATCTACTCAAATCCATATACAGGTAATTGAGAAATCGCTGTATTAAGTTTAAAAACATGGTTATTTTTGAAAAACATAAAATAATTTTTTGGGACGCTAATTTTGAGACTTGGAACATTTGATATGCATCATCACACTTCATTTACTTTGTACTTACGCCAAAAAAATTTTGTCACACTGAGTACAAATCACCCTGTATAGTTTTGTTGAATTGCTAGATTAGATTATTATCCATTTTTTTATAAAATCCATTGTAAAAAAACTTAAACTTGTTCATTACAAAGTGAAAAGTGTTGCTGTGTTATACCAAATTGTTTCGATTATAAAATAAATACATAAATACGAGGGTAGTTTATAAGTAAGAGCAGTTTGCGTATAGCTTCTGAGTTCGCATGTACAACGCAGCGAGTCTCCCCTCCACTTACTAGAATCATTTGTGAACAGACCGGCGCTATTTGCAGCTCTGTAGCTGACAGTACATTTTGCTGTGTGTCTAGAAATTTTTTTAAATTATTTAATATTCTCTGCCGCATGTGAGATAAGGTCAGTTATTTGTTTTATGACTGCAAAAAATATATCAGCTGCAGACATTTTTATCTATAGATGACTACATTTTATGGCCCTAATGCAATGATAGAGGGTTAAGTTCAGAAACAAGTTAAGGAGTTTTAAAATGGAAGCGAAAAAGCTCATTTTAGAATTGTGTTTTGGTGGGTACCCAGACTTCTCACAGAAAACTACAAAGGAAAAAGGTCTTCATGGCCTTTTTACACTCCCTTAACCCATTTCCACACTTAACCCTCACTCATTGCAATAGGGCCACAACCTTCAGTGCTGGTGATGAATGACGGCATCTGATATGTCTCTTGTGGTTGAAAAACATATCACTGATTTTATCTCGCATGCAGGGGGATTGAATGATTTTAAAAAAATTCACACACATCAAAAGCGTATTTGTCACCTACAGAGCTGCAAATGGCGCCGTTCTGTTCATAAATGATGCCAGTAAGCGGTAAGGAGTCTCGTTGCGGTATACACAAAAACTAAGAAACTGTAGGCACAAACAGCCTTTAAAAACAACCCTTGTATCTTGAAATGTAGTGATCATTTATTTTAAATAAATTAAACAATCCACTATGTATTTAAATAACTTCTTTGTTTGAAACTGTACAATTTGTAATTTAATCACAAAAGAAGGAATGTTTGCACGACTAACTTACCAAAAAAGAGTTTCTAGGTAGTTGAAAGAACACCCAAAGTTCACAATACAAATAATTTGATATTTCCCCCCTACAAGTGGACTTCTTCAGGAGTAGTTACAAAACTTCCTGGAACTCTTTTTTTGGATAATCTTAGGGGTGTATCCACTCTCCTTCCTCCTTAATTTATTCTTAATGAAGTGATTTTTTTTCTCCAAAAACTAATCTATAACATTGCATTCATTTATGAAAGATTACATTACTAACGTTTATATTCACACTAAACACGGCCAAAAAATAGGTTGTTTTGTGGCTTTAGACAAATCGGGATGTTTGAGTATTTCTAATTCGATCATAGCAATGAAAACTAGACGGAATATTCCATTTTTTTACTGATCAACTTTCAATACTTTAATAACTTTAATGCTACTTTTAAATGTTTGATGATTTGATTTGTGTAATCAGAGTATTAATTATTAAATGTTTTACAGACAGTCCGGGCACAACATCAGTGGCCCAATACAGTGTGACCGCTCTAACCGTGTTGGCGCAAATGTTGGCACCATTGCTAGATGTTACGTACGGCAGCCAGGAGAAGGAGAGGGTGGTAGCACTGCTTACCGCACTCATGTACAACGTCACACCTTACCTTAAAAACCACACGTATGTATATTAAGTGGATGTTATTATTGATGGATTATGTTTCATATTTTTACCTAACTAACCCATTCTCCAACCAAAAGAATGAATCATTTCTAAAAAGGTTATTTTTCTTCAATTATTGATTAATACCTAAATGAAGTACTGAGTATCAAGAACAAAGGTTTTAATTCCACACACATTTCTTGAGTGCTGTTATTTTTTAGCGATTTAGTTTTTAATATATTACACTAACAAAATAATCTTCTCCTTTTTCTTATGTCTCAAGACTTTACGCAGTTGCCAATGGGCCTTGAAAGAATGCAGCCCCACCAGCCAAAACAATCCTGTCGTAATACTTGTACTTGTCAAATATAGAAGTACACTATGTACCACACAAGAAACCTCTGCGTAACAGTAGTCTAAACCATGAGATATTTTTTGGCTGATCCCTGAAAAAGTTTGTTTAAGTGTGATAACATGGCATGGTTTTAGAATCAATATACACCCAAGTAGATATATTTCCTTATAGACTCTTTGATGATATATCAATTGTCTGGGTAACCGAGTGGTTATAGTGCTTATAAATCTGAATGTCGCTGGTTAAATTCCAAGCGAGATTGTTACAAGACCCAGATGAGATGCTATTTCTCATTGGGCTATATACCCTAAAATGACTTATCCTTCTCAGTGCACCATGAATTTGTACTCTAAACTATTAAGTAGCCAATTTAATAAAACCTCTTATTAATAAAGATTCTAATTTTTGGATCTTAATTTAATCTACCTATATGTTGCAGGCAGAGGAATGCGGCCAGTTTCTATGCATGTTCTCAGCTGGTGGCTAGCCTGTCAGGGTTCCAGTACACTCGCAAGGCTTGGCGCAAGGATGTGATGGATCTGCTGCTAGATCCGGCGCTGTTCCAGATGGAGACACGGACTCTGGCATACTGGCGCACCATCGTGGACAACCTGATGAGTCAGGACACAGCGACCTTCCGCGACCTCATGAGTAAGTCTACATCACAGTCAAACCTGTGCACAATAAACCCATGGTCACTTGTAAGCCTGGCCCTCTGTTAAAAAACAGTCAAACCTTAATATGGTGAATCTCAATAGTTGGTATGAATCGTGTCAATTAGAGTTGCGAGCGCACATGCACACAAGAGGCCTTTTCCTCTATCGGTGCTTTTGTTATTTTATTAAGTAATTTAAACAATGAATTGTTATTTGATTAAATGAATACCACTAGCGTCTAGTGGTGTGAATCTCAGTGCTGTTTGGAGCCTTTCCCTCATTCCTCCTACATACGATCCTGAAAACTTTTCTTTCTTATCAGTGTCTTTTGAGACTTCAGCTGAGATGAATTACAAAAATTGCTTGAACATTAAGTGCCGTTACTGCAAGAATAGGATGTGAGTTTGTGGATTTTATTATTCAGAGATCAAATTGGTGAGTTACAAAGTTAAAATCTTTTATCATCTCTTAAAACATTGCTCTGTTTTAACACTCTTGTTCTGTTAGGCAGGGTATCGATGAGCCAAGGTAACTCGTTGAGTCTGTTCTCTTCCCGAGAGCAAGAGTACGAGCAGAGAGCTCAGCTGCTGAAGCGACTCGCCTTCGTCATTCTGTGTAGTGAGAAAGACCAGTTCCACAAACACACGCCTGACATACAAGGTACGTCTTTACCCTAATCCAATGGGTAGTTTGGGAATTTTCATTCATGCATCTTCTTTGTCAAAGTTCATACAAAAAAATCATAAAAGAGGTTAGGTTTTGATTTTTAAGAATGGTGAATGGGTTTTTATGTCCTTAGGAATGGACAAGACCTGAAATTTCGGGAAACTTGAAAAAAATATATTTCTGATCTTTGGACGGGATGAAATTTGATTCAAAATTTTGCTGGGCGCTGGATTTGTTCCTAATGTCAGCAATTTGCAATTGCGAGTGACAAAGATTATGCCTCCATGATCGCAGGAGATATTAACAATTGAGCCGCCAAGGCACGTAATGATGATGTCTATAGTTTCTTTGCTGTATAGGAAGAAAAATTGCGTCCTGTAAATCGGGGAGGACTAAAAGTGCAATCTTGTCCATCTATCAAATAAGAAAGACAGCGTTAAGTGGCAAGTCGCTCATTTGCTGAAGAATCTTCTTAGTTTATCATCATTGTCTCATTGTCTGTTACAGAGAGACTTGCGGAGAGTCTACGTCTGCCACAGGTGGTGCCAGGTGTTCAGTCCCAGGTGTTCCTCTGTTTCCGTGTGTTGTTGTTGAGAATGTCACCTCACCATGTAACCTCTCTGTGGCCCATCATCGTCTCGGAGGTGGTGCAAGTTATGCTTCATATGGAACACGATCTGTCCACCGACACCGAAGAGTTCAGGTTTGTTCATTTTCCAGTTTTGTTTTACGAATTTGACAATGTGTGATTTGCTTGCATTGAACATTTTGTTTGAAACTCATATGCTTGTAAAATAAAAAAGGAATTATGTAAAACTGGATTTTACATTTTTGCCATAAGGTTGAAAATGAATTTGTTAACCAAGAGAGATTATGAGCAATATTTTTTACTCCGATATAAATATTGTATGTTAATTTGACATTTAGACCTCTTGGAAATAACACCTCATTAATTTGTTTCTACCTTAAAGTTCCATCGACTATGGAGTGATATTCTTGTTCAGTGACTGCTAGGAAGCTGTGGTGAGTTATTGTCAGTTCCGTGTGTAGTAAAAAGTTTTAAACATCATATTTGAGCATTCATATAAAACGATTGGAGCAACACCAACCGCATTAGCTAGTGTGAAGATTGGTTAAAAAACAAAACTTAAACCTACAGTAACTTACGAGATATGAACGGTGCCACATATTTTAAAAGTGAAAAAAAAATGTTTGCTTCATTGTGATGGCACTCTCCAGAAAATTTTTGTGTTTGCCACCTGCCCGTTAGTGCCATTGTTTACAGAAAATAGTTACAATTTAAGGTTTGGAAAAACTTTTCTGGGGTTTTCAAAAGTCAGTTGCTTGTTTTTATAGAAAAATGTTATCCTAAACAATCATTTTTCCATTCTTTTTCAATGTGCCGTCACTCAGTTTTTAGTTTTTATGAATTAAAATCCAAAATGAACCTAAGCTAATCAGAGCAAATCAAAACTGAGTTAAAATATCGATCATTATCTTGACTATCTTGACGAAAATAAAACTTGACCAAAAATTACAATGTGTGTCATCCCCCTTAAAACTTCTTAGATAAATTTATTTTTTGCCTTTCAATTGGCTACTTTATTTGTACAGTTTGTTTTAGATTAATAAAAGGTTTGGTCATTGAGTTGGCAAACAATGTCTGGTTTGTTTTTGAAAATAAGGTCAATAGACTATTATTATGTGTTGCAACTTTTCTTCTGAAAGTTTGGTTTTCCAGTTCCACGACTGTTATAAAATCTAAACGATACATTTTTCTTAATTGCTCCTTTAGACCTACAATTCAAGTCTGAATCGAATTTCAGTTTGTAGCATTGAACCTATGGTGACGCTGCAACTAATTTTAACTTAAAATTTAAACTGTGCTTTTAGGGATGCCTCATGCTCTCCCGTTCTTTGTTTGGCTAGCACAACTTGATTTCACAAAACTTTAAGTCACAAATGATTACTTACTCAATTTAAATTCATCAAAACTAATTTCTGAAGTTAGGAGCTGCAATGTATAATATAAGTATAATTTACTGTTTGTATGTTTTACTGTGTGTGCTTGGCTAACCTGGGTTTTGTTTGTTTGTTTTTGCTTCTGATGCGGTGGCGGTGCCAGGAGAAACAACAGGTATTTGATTTAGTTTCAAATTAGAATAAAGTAACAATCTTAGCTGTGTATTTAAATGGATGGCAATGGATAACAGTATGCAAAAATACTTTAAGCCAAAGCTTGCTCAAACGGATTGAAATATGTAATATCAGCTGTAGTGATGGTCAAGACCAGAAATTTCGAATCTCAAAACCTAAACGCGAAACTTTTTTACTAAGCTGGTTACAAAGGTCAAAGTTACAAAAAATACACAGTTGTTGTGAAACTGAATTGTACCAGTTATAGTATTTAAGATACCTTTTGAAGTTCAGGATAAAATTCACTTGTTTCATTACTGTTAATGGTGATGTTTGCTCTGTTGCTACCAGCTTGTTTGGAAACAGTGTTAAAAACAATAACAATGGCACAAAAAAATGTCAGCAGTTTCAAAAATAAAACTGCCAAAATCTTCAATTTTGAAACTTTTGGATCTCGAAACTTGGTGATCGAATCTCGAAACCGAAACTTTTCCTAAGTTTTGATGGTTTTGAGATTTGAGATTCGGATTTGACACATCACTAATCAGCTAGACTAAATAAATATATACACCAGATTCTTGCTGATTGGATGTAAACGGGACTGACCACTCTTTGGATTAGCTGTTAATATAGGAAATTGCTAAAAAATAAGAAAATGTAATTTTGTGACTTTAATTGGCCATCAATTGTGACAACATCATGATCGTCTCCCACCATCTCGGAAACATTGTCATAATTCTTGTGGAGACGCTGTCATTGTCTTCTGTGATCACGGACATTCATGATTATCTATCGTAACTGATGCAACAGTGGTGATGATAACCTGTGATCCTATTCTTCACACGACGGCCTTAAAAGAGAACCGATAGAATTTGTTAACGAATCCTCATGCTACTGTAATATATTCTTCCATACCAAATTCACTTGTAGACACATTGTAGTATTTTAGAACTAGAACACATAGATTTGTTTTAATTTAAACATAAGTGTTCTTTATTCCACAGCAGAGTTTCAGATTTGGGGGACTCAGGTGTATTTAACTCATTCTGATATTTATAATTTGTCAAGCATTCCCCTCCAACTATTTGATAAAATAAAATAATAGGACAATACAGTATTACTGTAACTTACCTACTAGTATAACTAGTAGCTTATCACATCTTAATTTATAAGATAGTTAAATCACTTTATAAAACAACAAATCCAATACTTGAGGAGTCTGTGGGATGGAATAGTAAATGTTATCTAATAATATTTTCCAGATACTAATTTTAGAACCATTTATTGCCGATGGTTTTGATTCGTTGTGCAAAATTGGCTATTGACACAAAACATATTGTTTAGGTTGAACATCACTCATGTTATAAAAGTTAGTAAAATAACAAAATACGACGTTTAGCATGTAACTCTCAACTTTGCTGTGAGCTGCAAGTGTGAATTGATTGGTTGTTGTTTGCAGTTCGCACATCCGTCTGTTGTCTGCGCTGGACTTGTCATGGGTAGTGAACAGCAACAACGGTCTCCACGCTAACGGACATCCCCATTGGCTACAGCTGCAACTGGCCGCGGCCAAACTGTTGTATCTGGCCGTACATCTGCCCGCAGACACATTGCCACAGTTCCAGATGTAAGTGTTCGTAGTTCTCAGAAACATAACAATCTTGATTTTGTTATCTTTGTTTAACCAAAAATTATTTCATCAGATGTAGGTTAAGTTTTTATACATATAAAACAGCTCAATGGCTGAAAAATGTTAATTGAAAAAGGTTTATTCTCCTTCTTTTAAAGCCTATCCTTAGGAGCCCAAGGGGCAGAGCCCTCAGTGAGCTAAAAACTTTTACGCCACTCTACACTGTTTTAACGAACTTCCCACGCAAGGATTTAGTCCAAAAAACAGGTGTTTGCTGCCAGCTTAATCAAATGGGGTTTCATTACTTACTACTGTACTGTAATGAGTTTTTACCGGACACCAACCAGCTCATTATATTGTATTTGTACATTTACATTGTATTGTATTTTACATTGTATTTGGCAATGAGTGGTTATAAACAAAAACATAACCTCTAGTTATGAGTAGTGATTTTTAGTTCTTTTAGTTGGTGGTAATATTTAAGGATTTGTACAGATTTAGTGGTATGGCGTAAACTATCGTACGTAACTTGTCCAAAATGTGTTTACCGGACTCGTATGGTAATCCCGTGCGAGACGAAGTCGAGTCAGAACGATCACAGTAAACACTTATTTTCAGGACTAGTAACGTAATATACTAATGTATTAGGTTATTAAGTAACATGCTTAAGTCTAAACCTTTTCCAGGTACCGGTGGGCGTTTGTCAGCCCAAAGTGTAGCACATCTTCGTCTCAAGTCAATGCAGATTTTGTACCTCACGTCACAAGAATAGCAAGGCTAATGGATGTCAAGGTATAATCTGCAATTACAACTAATATCCTCATAGTCTCATTTTGTTGTTGAATTATAAATAGACAAAAAGTTTTGGGCTATCCTTAAAGCTACAAGTAACGTGGTACAACTAACATGAGCGTGAATTACAATATTGAAATGAAAAATGTTAAATATTTCATACATTTAAAGCACAACTAAAGAATTTTATGTTTCTTTTATTTTGGTTAAATATGGACATATCAAGTTGAAATACATGTAGGATAAAAGAAATAATTAATAGAGAAATAAAAATATATTTCAAGGTCAATGGGTTGGATAGAAACAACAAAATCACTGAATAATCTATGGAGTTCAGTGAGTTTCAGTGAGTTGAGTGAAGTTTTGGAGTTCTATAGCAGTGTTCTACATCCCAATGTCTGTGACAGTTTGGAGGTGCACCAGAGAAGCTGCCGTCTCCACTGCTACCTCCGGGTAGTTCTATACGAGCTCTCAGCGACCTTCATCCGTTCTTCACCGTCATGAGCAGCGGACACTTCACTCCCCTGTCCCTCGCAGAGCTAGAGACCGACATAGAACAAGACTTCTTAGAGCCGATGCCTCCACGGTAACTCCTCGGAACATTGTAATTGTAAACTTCTGTATAAATGTATATTGTACAAACGGGATTTTAGAGCTTCTTAGGGCATTTTTAATTGATTGATTTCTATTGTACATAATATACTATATTGTTATTCGAAAATCTATTTACCATTTAATTTATCAGATAATGGGACTCTACAAGTCATTATTGATGTTATTGTTGACTATGAATTTATTTTATTGTTGGAATTTACCATTTGAATATTAAATATTGTGTTGTAATTTATCTGTCATTGTTTTATCGAGATCGTCTTTACTTTATGTTGATGTATCATGTAAATAATGTTTCGATCAATTTGTAATATTTTTTGGATAAAGTTAGGTATTGTCTAAACATTGAAGTATTTTATTTGATTGACAACAAAAGTGAGCTACCAAGTTTGTGCTGGTGCTAGTTATTTTACTTGTTCAAAATTGTTTTTGCTTTTAAAATGTGCACATAATTCTGTACTACAATATTATGTACTTTAGTATGACCAAATTAATTTTGTTACAACTACACTCTACGAGTCCTGCGGAAGTAATTTAAACACATTAAAGTTTTATGAGTTCTTGTAAAATAACCTACATCTCTTGCACCGATAGATCCAAAATTCTAAACCGCTAGACTTACACAAATCATATGATAATTTTTACCTCAATTAGTACTGTATTTTATTTACATTATATTTTATAAATTTTACCTCAGATGACAAATCGGTTGTTAAAAGTTGGAACGGTGTTAAGTGAGTTTAAAAACTGTTTATAAATTAATGCAATTTAAATATATGAGCCGAGTGGGCATCATGTTGAATTTCTTTTACACATTGACATTAATGACGTAAAGACTTAACTAATTTATGAAAATAATAAAATAATCAACTTTAGCAATATACATGTAGCTCATAGGGTGGTATAAATAATGTATGTATAGTTTCAAACAAATTATTTTTGTTCTCATAGAATCATAGTTTTGTAATATACAAAAATATGGATTTCTAAAGTTGATTTATAAAATAACTTATAATTAAGGTTACAAATTTTTCGAACAAAGTTTGTGCCTTAAGTATTGTGGTAATAAACGTTCAAAAATTGTCTGGAACTTGGACAAAATTGTGTATTGAGTTTAAATGAAAATTGTCATTCTTAATTGACATTTCAAGTGAGTATTGTGAGATTTTTAAATTTATTATTTATACTACTTAAGGTACTTTTTTGTAGCAGAAACCTTTAGAAAATAGAATAAAAAATAATACCTTAAGTTTAATTTTGTATCATAAACCTAGCAGTGTTTTCAGTGTCCCTAACCTAGAATCAAAATAATAGATCCTTTATAACTTCAGAGAGTATTTAAAAGTATTGCATTTAGTAAAAGTTTAGTAAAATTATAGCGTTTTATTGTTGATGATTAATATTTACAGGATTCTTCTAATGAAACTTAGTAAATAGTTTTATTTTTTGTGCTGTTTATTTACCATTGCTTTGTTAATTAATTCGAGTTTGAGATTTAAATATTTTTGATTGTGATTATGGTTGGTGCTCTTACTTAGTTAGGTCAATTTATTTATTGTATTTTGAATCAAACATTCCATATTATGAGTGCTTTCTTAGGTGTGTCTACAACTGGACATTTGTTTTGGTTCTCTACCATTTCCAAAGCAGACGTCCAACATTGCAGTATATTTTCTTAGAGCCTATTTCACGTAGCTACCTTCCAGCTGCTTTAGGTTGTTAGACTGTTAAGTTTTTAGAAAAGTTTATATTTTTTACCACAATGTGATATGATGTATATGATGGAAGGGTCAATGATAATCTTGTTTCTAAGTGTTGTCTATTAAATACAGTCGATAAGTTTACTTTACAATTCACTATGTTTTATTTCCTTGCTATGTTTTGTAGTTTACTTTGGGATAAGTTTCTCAGGAAGTAGTAGAAACCATTCACTTTCATTAGTGAAAGTAGACTTGTCATCCTACTGTAAAAGTGTTTTCATCATGGAAAACAGCCATTTTTAGTCCTCTTAATCATTAGCAAAATCATTGTTTTCGAGTAACTTCAAATAGGGAACAAAAAAAAAAACATATGGTAATTTTTTCGGTTCGCTAACCTCAAAATATGTTAAGTACATTATGAAAAACGCTGCTAATCACATCATATTTTAAGCTGTGTTTGTTAACAACAGAAATGTAAACATGGATGACAACTTTTTATAACCTCAAATTATGTGGTCTAATTTTGTAACAATTATAAGGTTATTTCCACAGTATGATGAAAATAGTTGTTCATCCCACGAAGTGAAAGTGTCTTTTTGATACATAATCGTATTTCCAAGCTCGGCTACACCTCGTTTGTAAAACACAATTGCGTACCAAAAAGGGCAACTTTTACTCTTAGTGATGAAAACTATTTACTGGGTCAAAAACCTCCATTACATTGTTAGGAGAAATGAATGTTTGAATGTATTGTTTATAATGTGTTTTTCATGTCGGCTATGTTTGAGTACGCTGATGTTGACAAAATATTTCTTTTTTATTTTAGGGAGGATTTTAAGACTTTTCAATTTTAAATGACATACAAAGAAAAATAATAGTTTTCCATCCCATTGTTTGGATTCATAGCTCCCCGCCCCTTGGAACCGCCACTGACCCTAACTTACACAACACACTCCAAATCGAAGTTTTTTTTTGCTGGACCCTGTGGTAAAATATTTTGGATACAACCTCATTCTAGGCTCTACCAATGTCTTATTCTGAAAACCATTGAACTTAATATAATTTTGCTTAGCGAGTTTTACCATGTATATTATGAACTATTTTTATTCAAGGCATACATTTTATTATATTCTTGATAGTTTATTTATTACTGCCTTAAATTTATTTATATCCCTTTTTATTTTAACCTTTTTTTACATTTTTATAGTACAGTATACAGACTTCATTTATTCATGTTTAAGTTGTAATCTTGACAAAAAACTTTCTGCCTGAACATACAATATTGGCATTGTTTGAAAGAGGTATCCCTTTGTGTTCCTGTGATTAAGAAGTATCAGTGTAGAATGATCCAGAACCAAATATTATGCAGTTTTCCCAAAATATTGTGAGTACAGTAGTTTTCACAACATAAATGTTTTACAATCCACAGCGAGACATGTATTTCTTTTGTTTGTCTTGACTAGCAAATTATGTAACTACAGTGATAAGACAAGCAAGGTCTGTTGTCCTTCAGCTTTTGGCATACTAATCACACATTCTGTCTTCAATTCTCTGCCCTTGCAGATAGGGAAGTGTGTGAGTCCTCAAATAATTTTCCTTTATTGTTAAATGAACATAACGGCTTCAAGCATTTGTTACACTTTACCTGTACATATTGAGTGCCAAGAAACAGGGTCTGACTATCTTGCAATTTTAAGCAAAAAGTAGAGTGTTCAAAAATTTATTAATTGACAGTTACTACAATTATGTTTTGATTTTGCTGTGTTCTTATGATGATCTTGATCTACCTTTACAACTGATCTTTACATCCTGATCTACCTTACAAAACTAAAAGTCACATACAAATTATTTTAGTTTTTCTGTAAGATCCAAAATGTTGATGTAGGCCTAATTTAATTTTTGATGAACCACTAGTAATTTTATAGTTTTGATATTCCTGATTCAATGAAAAAAAAATGTGATGTGTTCAACCAATGGCAACCCGCTGTAGAGGCTATAGCCTCCCATTGTACCCTGGAAAAATGTACCTAACAATGTAAGGTTTTTGACCCAGTTCTAACAGGAGGAGGTTAACTGCTCCCCTTTGGCCGTGAGGCCATGGTGCGAAATGTTTGCCTTGACTGTACTCTTTCTTACTTACCTGACCTAATACTGACGTGCTTTGTGAAACCAAAGTATGAATCACTACCGTAGCGTTTATATGAGGGTGCACTCATGTTTTCAGAGGTCAACTACTAGGTATGAGGGTTAGGTTAGGAATACCAATGTATCTTCAGCCGATGTAATTGGATCTTCAGCTTTTGAGCAAAAACCAAATTTACAACACACTATATGTTATTTCCGTAGTGGTACAATTTAAGAGATGTTAAATTTTTTTCAAGAAGGAGCAATTTACATACAGCCATTCTAACAATGGCTTAAAAAATACCAAACATTGCAGGGGATGACCCCTGGAACCCCCTTTTTTTCTTAGGAGGCGTGGAACACAACACCCCCTGTCTGTAGAGAAATAATGCTGGGCGTAGCACAAGCTAAATTTACATTCATGTCATCGACCACAGAGTTGCAGTCAGTACAATGGGGAAAATATTTTGATAAGAGGTAAGAGATTTTACTTTTATGTGCAATGTCAAGAAAATCAAAAGTTATCTTAGTGAATGTAATGTGTTTACAAATACCCATCATAACCTCTCCCAATGTACCAATGTAAGTGTTTTTTTTTAATATCCCTGTCAAAAAATTAGTTACTTTGTAATAGAATGATTGTGCATCTACCTCTACTAACTGTAATTGAATTTGTAGCTTGAAAGAAAGTCAGCATTCATCTTCTAAAGTTGGGTTTTTTTTAAGTTGATTCCCAGACGATTAGCAGAAAAAGTTGGTCTTTTCTTTACATAGCTTAATCAGCTCTTAAATCCAACCCCAACCCCGCCTCATCTGAGTTCTGAAATCGAGTTAGCCAACCAGGTGATTGTTTGCTGTATGGCTCATTGTCTGAATTTTAGCCCCGTAGTTAGATGGGTTGCTCATACCCAAATCGATGCCAAATAAATCAGCATTACAATATCCAATCTTTTACTATTGTTGTTGAATTGAATTAAGGCATTGTTTCTGCCGACAAACAAACCTCAATCAAGACAAGACCCAAGTCTTATGGGAAAGGATTGATTCTCCTGTTAGGTTCTCCCAGCCAGAATTGTGACTATCATGCAAGTTTCTTTGGTGCCTGCATTATAGTTAAAAGTCCCTGCTGGATTCGGTAGCTAGGAAAACCCCCCAGGTTGGTGTGCAGTTTTCTATGGTGGTTTGATGTTTCTTTTGGAGGTACTTAAGAACTAGGAGGTACTGCAAGTTGGGGACGGACAAGATTGTTCTAAATTTTCCAATGCCTTTACCACAGATATTAGTGCTGGACCAGCAGAGCTCTATTACTCCATGTACACTTATGGGCAAGATAAGAGTTATCTATTAACCTCAATAATCAGGTCACTGTGTCCATTTTGTACTTTAGGATCTATATTTAGAAATGTGCTACAAATATCTGAGAACTCTTTTTTCCTGTCGGTGAGTACAATACTCTATTAAACCTACATTGTCCTTTTGTCAGGTCATTGAATGTACATCAATAAGAGCCTCATGAATAAAGATCATTTTGACTTTTGACTTGAGTTTAAAATACCAAATGTGTGCACAGAGAGCCTTTTAATTGTTAGAATAATACCTTTGAATATTATTAGAACTAGACATACCATCCCCACCAACGGTTATAACTTTTGAACCATAATTTTACAGCATTTAGGGTTGTACCATTTTATATACAATTAAAAGCAATAATAAATCGTCATTAAAATGGTTTGAGCCGTTTTTGAGAAATTCAATTTATTTTATTTTATGAGTTTTATTGCCAATAAAAATCAAAATTTCAGAAAGATTATAAAAAAACTCCTGTATAAAGGCCTACCATGTTTTTGTACCCACTTTCCAAATTTCACCAAAATCAACATCGCACCACAGGTGTAGTGTGTAGCTTTGTACACATTCCCACGCACACACATTACTTCGAAAACACACATTTTTTGGGTTCAGGGGGACCCATGACCATATTTCCACCCAAAACTCATACATGTTGATTAAAACAATACTTTCGGCATATATAGCCATGTATATACTATGCATAGGGGGAAAAGTAAATAGTTATTGGTGTAACTAGTGTGCGAAGTGGCACTTTACTGCACAAGAGAGAAATGTTTAAGCTTGAGCGGCAGGTGAGTATTTTAACAAATATTTTAGACCGGAGCGAACTCTGACTGGCTCTGGCTCATTCAACGGTGTTCATTTTTAATAAAAATTGGCAACAGGTGGCCCATATAGCCAAGTAGACTGATATCTACTCCAGTATCAAAAAGTCAAGGAGTACAGTATAACAATCACAATTTAATGATGATAAATTGTCAGTTATTCCAAGTCTATTACCATCAACCCCTTTATTTTTAAGGGGGCTTAGTAAATTCTGTGTCAACGTAAAGGCGTAGTTTCTTTTTCTCTTTTTTTTCTTAAGTTAGACACTGTTAAAAGAAATTCTGTGTAAATATCTGAAAAGTATTTGCTGGTAAATATTACAAGTATCAGAAAACGGGTTATATTTTTGGTGTGTTCACAATTAGTTACTGTACTTTCAATCATCAATTTTAAACTTGTCTTTGTAACTGCCAAACCACCTACTTCTCAAAGCCTCTGAAAGAGGCAAAATATCAAGTCTATTTTGTATATAGGTAGTTATATATTTTTTTTTTACTTTGACTTGGCTGCAAACTTTCCTCAGGTGATTTAGCTGTGTCGTGTCCTCTCCATCCTATATGATTTTTTTAATCCAAGCTAAATGCTTTTTCCTAAAAACAATGACTCTTTTATTATTATTGTTAAAATCATGGCCATATTGGTCATATTGGTCAGAGTAAAAACACTTTCTGATTTACAGGTTGAATTTATTTTTGCACTTCTTTACATCAAATTAGAAATTAAAAACTATTTCCTGGCAATCTAGGATCCTAATATTACATATAAACATATATTGGCTGTTTTTCTTAAAGGTAAACAAAGTACAAATGAAAATACTGATTCACAGTCAGTCCCTAATTTATCTGATGTTTCAAAAATATTAAATGACTAGTTAATTTAAGTTGCACTGATTTACTATCTACGTACTTGCATAATGTGTTTTAAAAATTTATTACAGTATAAGTTAGAAAAATATATTTTTGAATCGATCAAAGAATTAATAAAAAAATATTTAAAGCAATCAATGTGTTAAGAACTCAGTCCCTTATTGTTTGAATTATCTTTTATATTTTTTTAGGTTTATCTCTAATATTATCGACCAAATTGAACGAGTTTCCATAAAACATTGATACGACAAAAAACTGTAAAAATACAAAAATCTTTACACTCACATTTAAAATTTCACGCTCATTCCATGTATACTGTACAAGGTAGACTTAAATTCATCATATCGAACGATACAACTTACTTCACTAAGCTAAAAAATTACCTAACTAAGACTCAATATGAGCCATGGCCATAAAATAAGAATTCCTAGAGCGGGTATTTTTCTGGAAAATACCCGCTAAGGTACCCAGTTAAACAAATCCGTCCGGACGTGTCTGCGGAATACATGGAAGGAATATTTACAACTCGGATATGTACACCTAGGCTACTGGAATATCACTTGCCCTCGAGCGATGGCACTCAGATGGCACCCGCTCCGCAATACTGCAATACTGCTCGGTACCGAATAAATTAACCCTAACCGAAAATCTACAGTGGATTTTACATCTAATTTGAATGTGAATTTCCAGCTGAGACTTGGAGTCGCAGCAGGGAGGTTGGGGTGTATTCAATAAACATAGATGGTCTTGAGCTGGTCTCGGAGCTCGGCTGGTAATGTGTACACCTCCTGGGGTGGCTTCTTCTTGACCAGACGTCGCCACTTGCCGCTGAGATTCTTGCGAAGACCCTTGCACTCCCTGGGCTCCTCGCAAGCCACGCTGTGTACCAGATTGTCCTGTAAAAGGACAAAATTGGTCAACACGCTGTACCCAGAAATGTACAACAAACCATTTTTGTCCACCTGGAAGAAGATGGGGTGTTGATTAGTATGTGTAAAAATATAGTTTAATATTCTTGTCTTGTCATCAAAAGGAATACAAGTGAATTACTGTATATTGTTTTGAATTAAAGAAAATATGTCCTAGAAATACTGTAATTAGGTCTTGGAGAAAAGATTATCAAAAACCGGCCTCAACAGTCTCCAATAGGTTTGCGGTGTAGTTACGGCGCTCACCGCTGTAGCGTCTGCTGGTCACATACGGCGCTTGCCCTCCTTGCCTGCAGCGGTGTGCGCCGTAATTACACGGCACTCCTAGCTGTGGGCGCCGGAACCTTCCTTTGACAGTCTATATTTATTCTATTTGTCTATGCTTTAACTGAGCAAATAGATTGGGACAACTTGGAGGCTTTTGGTTAGGTATACTTGGAGCCAAGAGGGAAAGAAGTGTGGAATGAGTCTGTATGAAAATTTTACCCTGAGTTAGCCCCATTAAAAACCCAAACTTGTCAATAATTGTAACAAAATATCTACCAGATCAAATTCACCCTTTTCTAAATTTACCACCACTTGGCAGCCGTTCCGGGCAAAAACGTTTCATTCGCAATTTGGCAGGGTAGACAAAGTCAACGCCGTCGTCTTTGTTAGTCTTTGGCCACATGACAAAACCACGAGCGTGCTGTCCCAAGTCTCAGATAGCAATGATAAGTTTTAGTGGTCTTTTCCCGTTTCCCTGGTTTATTTGATTGCGGATTAACTTTGTGCTCATTATACAGTTAGTTATCACGCTTGCCAATTATACGAAAAGCACAACGCTGGCGTTTGCACGCACGACCTTGGATCATAAGAGATATGTCACGGGTCTAAGCCACGTGTCGAGACCCAACACAACAGAGACACGTCTTCAGTTACATGACCAATGTAGGGAATACAGAGTGAGTAGCCTGTGGTAGGTGAACGGTCTCTAAGGTACAGTGTTGCCACATCTGATTGCGGTGTTGTCTGCGCCGTTGCTCTTGAATACACATCAAGTACTATACACAATTTCGAGCCCTCGAGGATTCCAGAAATGGCAACGTGAAAGATTGAAACGATTGACTTATCTGGCTGTTTGAATAACTGTGTTGTGGGTGTGTGTGAGTTATCAGAAGATAAATAAACGTCCTAATACTTCCAAAGAATTTTATTTAGGAGGCACTCCAACTACAAAGAAAAAAACTAAATTACAGTAGCACCCATTTCAAACTTATGTAGCCTGGACAAATTAACTGTACTCTGCAGCTGTGAGCTGATAATGACAATCAGTGTTGCCAAGCTACTTACAATCTCCATTGGTGCCAACCTAGCGGGGACAGACCCGACCTACTTCCCCCACAACGGTGTCACGGGCGCTTGCTCGACGCTCGCTACTGCAACGGTTAGCAAAACAAAGAGGTTTTACACCCTTTGCACCCGACAATTGCACGCGCTGATGTTTATCCTTCGAGAAAACTACGACCAAAGGTTATTAGTCCGTAGAGGGCACCAGAAAGAGTAAACGTTTACACGACAACAAGGCTGTCTCGTGTTTACAGCTGTGTAAAGTGTATGTGTGACAAGGGGTAAGGGACACCCACCTAGTGACCTAGCTAGACCATTGATTACATATATACAATGGTGTATATAAATCGAATGTAAAAAATTATAGCGAATGCCCATTCCCGACATCGTTTCCTATTTTGAAATACAAGAAAAACAGAAGAATAGAAGAAAACAGCAAGTCTTTAATGTTAAATAGAGGTAATGAAAAATACTGCCGATGTAATTATAAACTACACAAAAACTATCAGTCGAAGGAAACATAACCAATAGAACTCACCATCATTTCGTCCGTCATTACCTCGCGCTTTCAAACAACTGCATGATGGGAGCCTCGCCATGGCGGCCTCGGCACAAACCTTCGACCGGGACCTCGGTAACTCGGCGTTGTGGATATTGTCAATGCAGTGTCACCCGTATGCCTTGAATACCGATATCTACCTTGGTCTGTCCCCGGAAACCACAATTGTGTAATCGAGGTCTATTGATTATCTTTTGGTTTGTTATCACCGACGCGGAACTTTGTTATTTTAGGTACTGTATTTTGGTGAAAGTTAGTTTGTAATGGTTGTGTGATTTGGCTGGATTTAGATTCGAGCAGCAAATCCTACCTGTTGTCGAGTGTACCGCTACTGTATAATCCTACAATCCTACATCTAGATCCAAACATCATTATAATTTCAGTTAATTCTCTGTCTAATGGTCCAGATTAAATCACTGCTCTATTTTGAACTTGTTACAAATAACCCGCCACAGTGATTGGTTCCTAAATTTTTGAAATACGAATCTTTATCTTATAAAGTAAAAGTTATTGGACGGCTCTTTCAATGTGCTCAAAAATGTTGAGTAAAAATTACCCAAATATAGCCTATTTGACAAAAAAACAATTGGACGTAAAATGCTTCACAACTGTACTCATAAAGTGTATAAACGTACGGGTATATTCTTTAGGACTAAACTCCTAACTTCATGATAGACTAACCAAATAACAAGTAAAATAGCAGCATTTTCGAAAATAACGTATTTTGAAATCGTGTTTTGTAGTCTCAGACGGTCGGATATTTTCTTTTTCTACCTACAGTCGGTGCATTCAAAGGCCACAGCCCCTGAGAAGGTTTTTGTTCAGCCCCAGGTCTACAACACTATCGATCCTGAGCACCCTCGTCACATCCCTCACCCCAGTCGCCCAATCCCTCGCCCAAGGTCCCACGGCCTCCAGCACATCGACCGTCTCCCCCTTGCCGAGGTTGGAAATAGCGGCTCAATAATAGACGCGTGTCGTGTGTGGCGGTCACGCGCTGGTGTACAGTAACGTTATTCCAAACAATATATAACCATTGGCATTAACTAACAAAGCCATAAGGATAAAATAAAGTGTTAAGTCAAATACGCTTATATTTCAACGGTTTCCCACGTAATACAGCTCGATTAGCCTGAATTGCATACACATAGTGTTCCATAGTCAATTATTTTCAAACATGATTTTGGTCTAGGGGCCTAATAAAATCTCCTACGCTAAACATCTAAAACTTGTCATAACAAGATAAATCTCCTATATAAATCTCCTACTATTTTTCAGGTGGCAGTAATCAACTCGATTGCCCTCTACATTTACGATCGATAAGATGGCATTGTATATGTGTGCGAGTGTCTATAGCGTATAGACGAGTTAAGTGTCTATATTTCAGTCACCATTACTCGGGCAATCCTCTCCTCCCGAGTCAGTGAACTCGTTGCGACGATTACAACCCGTAACGTATTTTTCAAACAGCTGTCCGGGTTTTGAACTCATCCCCCCTCCAAGATCAAGGGCAATGTCGGGACTGGTAAAAAGAGTTTGAGGCCAATGACCCCCTCAAAACGGAGCGCCGCGGCGCGGCGATGTTTTGATTTTGACTTTTGAAACTATCGTTAAACACAAAATTAATACCTGACTTTACAAGAAATTTACAATAACCTATGTAAAAACACTGATTTGTAACTTGGATGTTTTGAATCTTATCATTATGACGATCTGCTTGCGCTCCCCTTATCAATCGACACGTTCACATAAATAGGCTATCAATGTTAGCGCTAAAATAGACTGACTTATGTAAACTTCATCACGAAACTTGTAAGCTAACGCACTACGTACTAAACATGGGAGATTTTAGTGTACAAAACAAATCAATGACTGTTTTTTAATCTGCAAGGACAAAAATGCCCCAATGTTTAAGATCTGCCTAAAAAGTGTAATTAATTATGTTTTAGCTTAGCTTAATGTTTTAAATGTTTAATCAGGGCCTAAAAAGTGTAGAATACAATTTGAGTAACGGTACAGCAACTTAAGAGAAAAAGAATATGAAAACTACTGATTTACTGTAACAACTTTTCCGAAACAATCACAAGACAAAGATCTTATTCTCGGATCAGTTCATCCTAATGAAATGTAATTAATTGTTTGAATTAGATTGTGATAAAGATTACGCTAGACGATAAGGTACATACTACATGCCTATTTATTGAATAGGCGAAACATGTTGTGAGTTTGACTACCACATTAGAACTAAAGGACCTCATATTTGTCTAATAGGGGCTAAATTGTGAACCATTTTTATATTGTCTATAAAATATTACAATGGTCTATAAGTCAATGGTCTCCATTGATTTAGTGAAACCAGGGGCATAATTTGAAAAGGATCGGTGAATATTTCCTGTGATCTGTCGATCTGTCTACATATGAAATTAAACACACAGGACTGGCCTGTGGCTACTAAAGACTTCGGAAAGTCTATAAGATAGCCTACAGTCATTGGTGTTTCCAATGAATTGTTTGACTTACTACAAACTACCACCCCTTTAGTCTATGAAACTACTGTACAATGAGTGTTGGTTGACATACCTCATCGTTGTTGTACAGGGTGTACTGCGAGGAGGCCGTGGTGGAGCAGCGGCTGTTGGTCCACAGGAAGGGCGGAGGCAGAGACTCCTGGCTGTCTCTAGGGCAGGAGACGACCACCTCCTGGCACTGAGGCTGCTGTTGTTGCTGAGGGACCTGCTGCGTCTGCTGCTGATGGTGTATCACGTTGTTGTTATGGTTCGTCGTCACCGTCGTGTGCAGGTTGTCCTCCCGCTTCCTCAGCTTGCTGCGAACCAAACGAATGGCGATCAGATGATTGCCGTTGCCACCTGCCATCAGTTTCAGACTATTCCTAAGAGCTCCGCAGTTAAAGCGGTTCTTGATCGAAACCGTCTTTTCCGCCTCGGACTTATCCGACTTCGGCTTGTTGGGGTAGGTGATCACGTCACCGAACGTAACCTGTTTGTTGGGCATTTTAACTAACTTAAGAGGAACCAGATAAATGTCGCTCACAGCCTAGAACCGCGGGGCGGGTCACTGCGGTTCGACGTAAGCGACGAGGTCCGCTAACACTTTGGTCTGAATATCACAGTCGGTTGTACGAGAGTACGGGCCCGTTAGGAGTTGAACATCTTCTACGGGTGAAAACGCAACGTCAGGTTTCCAAACCGCGCTACGCAACACACGGAGTTGAATCTCCACTGAACCACTAGACACAGTAACCACACGAAGCAGCACCGAGCACAGGGTAACACTAGAATATCCAATTGCACGTGTACAGTGTAAAAACTGTGTGATTATTAGCACTTCGACGGACAACCACCATTTGACACAACGCACCACCAACCAGCGAAACGCTGTCGGCGTGGACTGAGAATCGGGCGACGCGTCAAACGAGGTTATTTAAACGACAGCCGTGACGTCACGAGCTGCCGCGCGCTCATTGGCTACAGATGTTCAGTCTCGACCAATGGTGGCTCGCGTTGCACTCGTTAGTTCTCACACTCGCCGCGGTTTTCCGCCGCGCCCCTGTCGCGCCTCGTGTACACCACCCCTCGGTCTCATTGTTACAATTTCAACCCCGTGCTCTATGAACTGCCTTTGTCGATTGGTAAACGAGCAAAATTTTCGCATTAATTGACTTGAGAATATCGGGTTTTTAGTTCTAGAGACATTACAAAAAATTATCCATAATGCGAAGGTACAGTAATAGTTTCTCACCGAAGTAGTCATTATAATGAACAAAACTTGTATTGTAGCCTATATAGCTCTAAGTGTATATTTGTTTATAATGTAATTGGAGGGAAAGTGAAGAATTCTTTTTCGTTCTTTTAATAGCTACAGCTACACTTTGTTTTGTGGTCCATCCCTGTATTCAAACGGATGGGAAGGATAGGAATAAAATTTAATATTTCTAGTCTATGTCTTAGCGCAGACAAGAGCAGTCATAAGAAAATACTCTTATGTCGTAGTTAGTGTCTAAGGGTGCTAAAGATTGTTCTAGTCGGCTCCGTTCCTTTTAACTGAAAGCTAGTCGCGTATCGGGGTTAAATGCGTATTCGATATTCCTAATGTACGAAAAATACAAAAAAAACTGCAACTCTGAGGAGACACGATATAGTACTGTACTTTAGCATTAAAGTAGGCAAACATTTAGAAGTCTACTAGTGAAATTCTAATCTATAGCGCTTGATGGACTAGTTTTAGATTAAAATGAAGGAAATCGTAAAAAAGCGAAGTTATTTTTAGAGTGATGAGAAGTAGTTTCGAGACCCGTGGGTCGATTTGATAAGAGGTTATCAGGGTCACATCACCTCAGTTTGGTTGATGGAACATTTTTGTCTCAAACACAAAACATACAAGCATTTACATGGAGGCTGTGTTATGCAACTTACTGATACCGCGACAAGGACAGGGTGATTGTAAAGATTATGTAAAAGATCCAACAGAAAAATCAACTAAAAATAATCCTCCAAATCTGCAAAACTCTCACAACTGTTATTTCAGTATATTCGTTAATAAAACTGTCCGTTTTTGGAATAATTTTTCTCAATACAAGAATAACTAGGTTTTGTTTGTATTATAATTCACAATTCGAGATATTCATTAACACAATTTAAGCGAAACAAATATCAATTAAATATGCTCATCAACATCACCATACAATTTAAATTTACTCAAATTGCCTACATTGTTCAAGAATTTTTGAAAATCATTAGCACTTATTTTCGGTTACACTGTAGATTACTATAAATTAAAATAACTAGTCTTGGGTATACAGGCAAAGATAAGGACAAAAATACCCCTAAAATTAATGTTTTAAGTGGATTAGCTAAACATTGGACTTCCTCGTCACGCACGGCTTAAAGAGTATAGTTAGAGATTTCGTGTGTAATTCCAATTTTATTATCTAAACGTGTTTTGTCAACAATGCAACAATGGAAAACAACATATTTAGCCTTCGTCTACGTGATAAGTTTATTAACTGTATCTATTATGAAGAGCTATTTTATACCATTATTCATTTGTTTGATGCACTTGCCAGTTCAGGTTTAAAAAATGCAGACCATCATAACGTACAAACTGAACCAATGACAACAATACAGTAGAAACAGCTGATTTAACCCAATATCAATTATTGACTATGTTTATGGTTCAACTGTTTAAAATATTTCATAATTATTAAATAATAGTAACAGCTTATTTCAACCCCAACAGTTACAGTAGGCATCGACTGATTTCGCAGAAGAAAATAAAAATAGTACAGAGTAGCTTATAACACATCGTATCATTATTACAATTTATTTTTTTGTGTTTATCATAAAGCACCATTGTAAATTTCACAATAATAAACACTTATTTGACGATATTTCAACAAATTAAACATATCTAAACAATTTAAATTTTCATTACATCGGTGAAGTATTCCTTTTACATTTAACTTGCTTAAAAATGGTAACAGCTGTTTGATTACAGTGGCCTAACACAATCAACACCATTCGTGATTTAAGTTATTAAGAAATAGGCCTACATTGCACTAATATGTTTATTTATTTGATTGTTGTTTCAGTACGAAAAATCAAGCATTTTCGAGCCTCCCTCATTTTTCGCTTCGGCTTTCGAAGAGAGTTTAGTTAAAACTTTATTATCGTTATCGACCACATTGGAGGACGAACTTTAGAGTTGAGAATCAGAAGAAAGTTTCTCGTCGACTTAATTGAACACATTTAATTAGTTGTTTTCCAGCGCGTGATCCACCATGCAGTGGCGTGATGCTACACCAGTATACTGTACTTGAAACTGCTGCAATTATTGCCATCATCAGTAATTAGAAGAAACGGTGAAATGCGCACTACACGAACTTTATCGTGTTATTTATTTATTGAAGTATTACGGGTTCTGTCATGTGTAATTTTAAATTTGTTGTGTTATAGATTATTTTAATTTCATCGATAATATGCCCCGAACCACTTCCAGTTTATGTCTTGAGGTTTAAAAAACTGCAAAATGGAAATCGTAAACTATGAATATTTATTAGACAGACATAAAACATTTTAAATATTTTGATTGGTATTTGACACACGTTGTTTGGTTTGAGTTTATTTTTAACCAAAATTATCCTACCATTAAGTGTATAAATAAAATTGGAAAACCATCAAAGGATGTCACTAAGTGTGTAGGAAATTCTAAATAATATTGTTTACCTATCAATAATGGCTACAAGTCATATGCACATGAAAAAAATATACCTATGCAAAATAAATTCAAGAGTCAAAACAGAAAGGGAACAAGACGAAGATAAGTTGTACAAAACAACAACGTTTCTACGCACTGTGTTACAAAATGAAAACACGTTATACAACATCTTTGTGGAATTCACAAACATATTTATAATTGTGCAAAACAAGTTAAACTGTTAAACCCCCCATAAAAAGCACGACCTGGGCATCACTACGTTTACTAGAAAACAGCTGATTACAAGACCTCTCTTGTCATGAACATACGTGGTAATTTTCAGCTGATTAACATTACCTTATCTTTCGGCAAACACGTGGATTGGTCCATAAATTAATTAAGATTAGGCGATGAGATTACGCGCCACTCGAAAAACTTCCATCATTCCATGTTGTTGGTTGTAATGTTGGATTATTATTACGTGATTAATGTCTTAGTGATTACTGCATAGGAAAACTAGATCAAGAACTGTGTACAAGTTCAAGGGAAATTTGACGAGGAAATTGGTATAAAATAATTGACCAGGCCTTTCTTTCTGGACATAGCCCTATATTCTTCCCCCAAACAATAAAAAAAAACATCTATTTACGCAGTACAACTAATATTGGTGACAAATTTGATCCACAATGCAAAAACATCGAACGAAAGCACAGATAGATAGTTTTTATTGACATTGAACCAAAAGCGCTATATTTAACACTTTTAATTGTGTTGCCAAAAATCAACAAACATATATCGATTAACTCCAGACGATTTAATAACACAAGTATTGTTTTTTTTTCAAGTGAGAATTATACTAAATATTTGCTTTTTAACCTTTTAGCTTTTAAAATAACGTTTAATGAATTTATCTGGAGTGTTAAATGGTTATAAATATTAAGTTATATACATTCACAATCACTAAATTATTAACAACTATTAAGCAGGCAGGTTTGTCACAATTCAAAAATTACTAAAACAGGTTAGGTAATGGATATTTTGCACCTACCTACTAATTAAATGCCACTAAAATCGAACAACTGCTTGAACAGAGACATACTTTTACAACGAAATTCATTTGTTTCGGTTAAAAGTGCATTACATTACACATACAGTACAGTGCTATGCTTAAAAAAATGCTTTACAATAAAATGTTTTTAATCTTCAGGGAGGTGTAACTTAAAAATAATAACTATAGTTCAAAACCTCATCATAGGAATGAAACGTACAACAAATTCTTCTAGTAGATTGTTATCTTGTGGCTTACCATATACTGTATTTGGCGTGTGAGAAGTAAAAGAAGGTGGTGAACATGATGACTAGAGATGGGACACCCGCGACCGCGACGACGACGACGAAAGGACTGCCGAGGAGTTGAGGGTACAGGGTGCAGGAACCAGCAAGATATTGGGTCAAAGGTCAAGGGGTAACGTGCTTCCTTATCACACAGTCTGCTGGGGGTAGATATTTAGTTGAGGGGCATTTTTTAAATTTGGGAAAACAAATATTACAACAATAGCAATATCGTGTTTTATATCAGCTAAGAATTCTCTACCGATTGTCTTAAATATT